ATTGAAACCTTTGAATTATGGATGTGGCGTGGAGGAGAGGTGTGCTCTTGGCCGGCATTGATTCGCACAGCGAATGATTAAATGAAGTAAATGAACTTACGACACAGCGGAAATACTGCTCCTTGCGCACGCTCGGCTCGACGCCCTTCTTGGTGCGTATCAACAGGTAGATGACATTCAGATCCGCGCAGCTGCGCAATAGCTTTTCCACCAGCACTTTGCCCATGAAGCCCGTGGCGCCCGTTATCAATATCGTTTTGCCGGCATAGAAATTGGCGATTTGCGATACGCCCGAGTCGGCGTCGTTGTTCAGTAGCTCCATGCTGAATGGGGTGCCGAGGTGCCGAGGTGTTCAGGTGCTGCAAGAGGAATATTCTATTAGATCATGCAGGTCTGTCTGTATATATATATATATGCATACGCTTTGTTGTCATTGCAAATTAAGATCTAATATGGGGGCCCACTTGTTGAGTGTGTGCTTAACCCACTTACTCTGCAAATATTCTATTTCAATGTCAGCTTTTACGAAATAATCCAAACCAAAAACAACAACAACAACAACAACAACAACTCAGCTGTAATTGGCGTGAAGGGATTTTCGCCTCTGTTTGCTCTTTTGTTTCCCATCCAACGCTAGACTTCATTTTTTTAATTGTTGTTTTACATTTATGTGGATAAATAAACAAAGTTAGGTTTAAAGACCTGCGTTAACAGGCAGCTCATTTGTTGGCTTTTTGTGAGTCAGTCTATTAAGACATGCGGGCTTATTTGGAAAGAAAGAAAGTGAGCAATATGTTTAGATTTTAGATTTTATTGCCAACAACAATTGAAATTAACCTAATGCGGCTGTAAACCTAGTTTTGAGCGCTTGTAATGTTTTTTAATAATATAATTATGTCGCACCAAAAAATTTCAACAGCATTTAAAGCCAAAAGGTTAAAGGCTAACAAAAAGTTTATTTTATTAAACAAAATTCCTCGAAATTCATGCGCCAGGCCCATTTATTTTCTCGCCGAATTGAACTATTCGCTAATAATGAAAATAATATAGCCACACAATTGCACAGTTAGTTGACGCAATGCCCAAAAAAACAACAACAACAAAGAGCCAAAACTGAATACCAAACGTTGCATTTGCCTTCTAGCCAAAACAAAAGACTTGCTTGGAACACAAACTCGATTGGCTGCGCAGGCCTGTGCGCGATATGCATCTATTGCAATATTTGCCATTAATATTGGTGCCCAGCCCCCAACCCCCCCCCCCCCCCTCTCCTTGTGGCTGCCGTTGCAGATTTGTCGTGCACACACACACACGCACACAGAGACTCGGCAAATAGGCTTTGCGCCTGCCTCCGGGCATCAAACTTCTCACGCCACCGTCTTTGGGTCAGGTCAACAATACAAATGGATATTCACGTAATATTCACATATCCAAACAGCCGCCAGTTGTACACGCAAATTATGACACTTTATTTGATTTGTTTTTTTTTTCTGTTTTTTTTTTGTTTTTTTCTCTTGTTTGCACTGTGAATTTGTTCATACTTTGTTTTTGTTTGTTTGCGCTTTTCAATTTGGTATTTTTTTTTTTGTGTTTAACATTGTGAATTGTTTAAGTTTTGCATGCCAGCCAAGCAGTCACAATGGCATAGTTCACAGTAGTTGCGCCTAAGGACCCAAATCAGTAACTATTTAGCGCCTAATTAGCGCATGCTTAACAAATACAGAAGCTCTTGGCGCTTTGTTTTCTTTAATAATTAACGCCGACGCTTAAACACAGACATTTATTTATTTTATTTTTATTTTTTAACTGAAACTGAAACTCACTTTTAAAGTTTGATTGTTGTTGTTATTTTTACACTGGCTGCTGCTGCTAAAAAATTGTTCGAATTGAATCAGTTGAATACTCAGCAGCGACTGAATACAAAGCGGGCAATTGGCTTGAAGTTATACTCGTCGTAAAGGAAATTTAACGGCGTTACCACACACACACACAAACACGTGCACATACATGCGCAGGCGGGCAGACATGATTTGCTGTTCATGCGCAGCGCGTACGTGTGTCGAAGCAGGCGTGTGTGTGTGAGTGTCTGTGTGTGTATGGCTTTAGCTGCATGTTTTGTATAGTAAATGCAGTTGTATTGCCGTTGGACGCCACTTTCCGGGTAGTCCCAAAACCATTTCTGAGGCCCGTCGCGACATTAATTACAGGGTATTTTAATGAAATCAATTAAAAGCCACTTGCGAATGTCTACATAAGTGCAAGGGCAGCATTTTGTGTCAAGCCACTTAGCCGCCACTCAAAAGTGAACAGAAAAAGTAAAACAAAATATAAGAAAAAGCCCAGAAAAAGGACAGGCCGCCGCCTCAGCTGCAGCCAAGGCCAGCGAGTCGAGCCAAGCCAACTCGAGTTGGGCTCGATGCGACCCCAAAAGTGCATGTCATCCGCAGCTCAACAGCGTGTCTACACATACATATATACATATACATACATACATATATATGTACATATGCATGCATATACATGACTGCATAAGCCGCACACATGCGTACAATCTGCATTTGGGAAAATATACAGTTATTTTGTTTTTTTTTTTTCGGAACCTGCTCCATGGCAAAATTGCGATAACAACAAAGAAAAAAGTTGTGCGACTGGTTGGTTAGCCTGAATCTCGAACAGATCCCGAACGGAATGGAAGCCCGCCAACCATCAGTCAGGATGGGTCTTGGGTCTTTCGCAACGATAACCAGAAATCTGACGATGACGACCTTGACAACTGATTATTCACCTGATGTCCGTTACGTTTTCAATTTCACTGGTTATTGGCCCGTCGGCTGGCTAATAATAGAGCGTTCCTTTGATCACGATGACATAAGCTGTTTTTTCCACTCGAGTGAGCGAGAGAGAAAGAGAGAGAGAGAGAGGGTGGGCAGAGGGGTAGGGAGAGGGAAGCGTACTAAGTGGTTCTGTAAACTTAGGAAGTTGTAGCATTTGGCATAGACTTCTCACCAGCCCGCAAATTGTTGGCTTCAAATTCGTTTATATTTTTGTTTTTTTTTTTCGATTTGTAATCAAATGATGCGGAAAAGTTGTTGCTCATTTTAATTAGAGGTAAATCACACAGTTTGGTAATAAATTTTTTTTATTTTTATTTTTATTTTATTTTTTATTATTCAAAAATTTAACTGGCTTTCGGCTGCAATTGTTGCCTGCAATTCTTTTTTTATGATTAAATTAAATTACGCCAGCTATTTTTGAATGTATTTAAATGCAGCTTTTGGTTATATATTGAAAATTAATTACAATTAAATTGCTTATTTTTTGTGTGATTGCTTTCATTTAATTTAATTTCAGTCGGGTTCCAGTTAAATAAATCAAACACGTGTGGAAAACGAGCCAGCTGCTGGAATTGAAAAGTAATTTTCAAACTAATCGTTAACTATTTAGTTAGATAAAACGTTTGACCTAGGGTCAAGCAGCTTTTAGCATATTTTGTGGCTTTTGGCAAATACTTGATGTTTTACATATATAAATATGGGTACGGTAGATAAAATAGAGGTGTGCTCCGCTTGTAAATTGTTTTAAATTTAAGACTTCCACTCAAGACGGGTTTGGGCCGTAATGGATCTTGGGCAAATATGTGCTTGTAAATGCTTTGCTGCTTTCCTGCTTTCCTGGTATTTACCTGACATTTACCTACTTACGCACACCCAAACGACTTTTCAATTAGGCGCGCGGGCCTCAACTGTTTTCCACTCAAAACAAGTTAAATACAAAAAATTGTTGTATTAATTACAGTCTAACTAAATGAATTAAATATGGAATGCATTGTAAAAACGAGTTTTCAATTCACAACTAAAGATATGTCTCAGAATTCCATGGGTCGATTTGAGCCTATAATTGACTCGATTTATAATACAGATAATCAAATAATTATAACTTAAATCTTAATTAAATTTTTAATTCCCTTTTTTCGGAAAATGTTGGATATTAAAGTGTTTTTTGTCTGCATCTTTCAGCAGATTTTGCTTTGTACCTTCCTCAAGACAAACCTCTATTAATACTCCTTTACAGGGCATCTCATAGTCGAGCTAATCTCAGCCTTAATCTCGTCATCAAAATGTTTGAGTCGAACTACTTGTGAACTAAACTACGTTTTAAGTGATATGTATTTTAAAAAACCATTATTAACAACTAATAGGCTAATTATATTCATTGAGTGCTTATTAAACACCCGCGGTTAATAATCTAAACAAATACACAATATATAATATCCAGCAATATCTCAGGCTTGGAAACCGGTTGAGTCTAAAGCAACAACTCAACAGATTCGAATGCAGTTGCAACTGTTACAAAATCCTTGTCCGATTTTTGCATAATGCCTTTCGACGTAGTTAAATACGGAAAAGACAAACGGCATATATACTAATTTTCAAAGAGATAATGCTATTTCAAAATGTCAACAATTTTATTAAGAAGTTTTTGCTAGGCTTCTATCAATATAAATAGAAATAAAAAAAATTAATAAGGATCTACATTGAAATCCCAGAATGTACTCAATAACATTCCAATCACCCACCTATATACAAAAATTTAAATAAGTATTCGAAATGTTGTAACAGATACTCAAAAAGCCGATTGAATCGAACGAGTTAATCTCAAAGAGCGTGAGTAATGCAAATGTGTGTTCCCCCAACAGTGCACGCGGAAATCATTTTAGCATAAATTATCGATAACCGCCTACCCTATGCAGAAATCGATAAATTTATTGAGTGCTGTTTTTCTTTTGAGCCGAATATCCGGCTGAAAGCTAAAATACGACTGGAAAGCACTTTCGATTTGAATATTTCCTTATGGATAAAAACCATTTAACCCGTTTGTCCATTTATGCTGAGTTCTTGAAATTCCATTAAGTAATATACATATATATATATATAGACTACTTTATATATGATTGATATATGTGTGTATATTTAAAAAACAAAACAGAAATTCGTAACGAATTAAATTAGAGCATTTTTATCGAATCAAAATTCGTGCCATTATATTAAAGTTTTAATAGCTAACTATTTTTGAAAATCAGGGTCGTGACATTAAAATATGGAGAACAATTACAGGTGGATATTCAATGCTGGGGATCGTTTTTAGTAGCTGCGTCCGAATAGCGTGTAGAACTTGGGCTTGTTTGTGCAGCCGGGATTGATGCACTTGTCGCTGTCGACGATCTTCGCCGGCTGGTCGAAGGGTATGCACAGCGTCTTGGCGCCCATGGCCGGAGCGCCGGGCTCGGCCTCTTCGCCGCGTGCACTGTCCGCTTTGATTTTGTCCTCGCAGGCCATGTCGCCGCAGAAGGTGGCGAGCAGCATATTCTTGTTTTCCAGCTGGTTGCAGAAGTCCGTCCAGTTGCTGACAATCTTCGTATGCGACACCAGATCCAACTGCGCCTTGGCGAGCATGCTCTCGTGAATAGTTTCGAGCAAAGTGGGAATCTTCTTTTCCACATCGGCCAGGGCAATAGTCAGCTTTTCGCCGGTATCACGGCGCACAGCGACAATCTGCTTGGCCTGCATATCCTTGGGGCCCAGCTCGATGCGTATTGGCACACCCTTGAGCTCCCAATGATTGAACTTCCAGCCGGGCGAGTAATTGTCACGGTAATCGCCCTCACAGCGTACGCCGGCGCCATTTAGACGCTTCTCCAGCTTGTCACAAGCAGCCAGCAGCTGGGCGCGCTCCTCGTCCTTGGTGTTCACCGTAATGCCGCAGGGCACGACAATAGCCTGCACGCAGGCCACATGCGGCGGCAGCACCAATCCCTGATTATCCGCATGCACCATAATCATGACGCCGATGGTGCGCGTGGTAAGGCCCCACGAGTTCTGGTAGACATACTGCTTCTGCTGCGTCTCCGGATCCTCGTAGACAATCTCAAACATCTTGGAGAAGTTCTGGCCCAAGTGATGACTGGTCGCACCCTGGATGGCGCGGCCCGAGGCCGAAATGAATGCCTCCACTGTCGTGGTATAGTCACCGCCGGCGAACTTCTCCTTTTCGGTTTTGCGGCCCTTCACAACGGGTATGGCCAGCAGATCCGTATAGACTTGCGCGTATAAATCTAAAATCTCTAGAACTTCCTTGTCGGCCTCGGCTTTGCTGGCGAATGCCGTGTGGCCCTCCTGCCAGAGGAACTCACGTGTGCGCAGGAAAGGTTGCGGATGCTTGAATTCCCAACGCTGTGAAAAAAAAACATTGTGAGGATCATGGCATTCAATTGTGGCATTCGGTATACTCACCACAACATTGTTCCACTGATTGAGGCGGATGGGCAAATCTCTGTAGGATTGTATCCACTTGGCATAGGCGGGGTACATAACAGTTTCCGAGGTAGGACGCACAGCAATTGGTTCGGCCAGGTCCGAATCACCCGACTTGGTTACCCAGGCCACTTCCGGGGCAAAGTCAGCAATGTGGGCCTTCTCACGCTCCAGCGCCGCCTTTGATACAAAGATGGGGAAGTAGCACTCCTTGACGCCCATGCGCGTGATTTCCGCATCGAACCAGTTCCGGATGCACTTCCAAATGGCAAAGGACCAGTGTCGCAGTATATAGCAGCCGGACACATCGTAGTATTCGATCAGTTCGCCCTTGGTTATCACCTGCGAGTACCAATCCGGCAGGTTGTCCTCTTTCGTGGCCTCCAGACCCAATCGGGTTTGTTTCTTCACACCTGCAGCGGCATCTGGCTTAGCAGCAGCTGCTGCTGGTTCTTTCTTGGCCGGCTTCGCCGCCTTCTGCTGTGGCTCTTTGGGTGCCTTCTTGACGGCGCCGCCGCCGCCGCCTCCACCGCGACCAGCAACGGGGAAATCGGTGCCTGTGACCTCCTTGTATTTGGCCTTAAGCGCCAGCAGCTTGCGCACCTCTTCGTCGATGACGTCCTTGGCAGCTTTGCTGCCCTTGACGGAGCGCACCTTTTCGCCCTGCGCATTAATGTCCAGCGTCAGCTGCTCCTTCTCCGACGTAGCCATCTCCACTTTAGCCTCGACCTTGGCGTCGGGTGTCCAATCTTTGCCACTCAGCTTTTTGTAGTCCGCCTTCAGAGCCAGGAGCGCTTGTACCTCCGGATCGATGCTCGCCTTGGCTGCCTTTGCCGACTTTAGCTGACGAATCTTGTCCCCCTGCGCCTGAATCTTGGCCAAGACGCTGGCAATGTCGCCGCCAACGCTGGGCTCGTCAGCAGTCAGGTCAATGGTCGCAACTGGTGCTGCTGTGGGCGCTACGGTGCCTGGCTTCCACTCCTGGCCAGTCAGACTTTTGTAGTCGGTCTTTAGAGCCAAGAGCAGCTTCACCTCGGCGTCGATCAGCGATTTTTCCGACTTCGCCGACTTCAGCTGCCGGATCTTGTCGCCCTGCTGTGCGATCTTGTCCAGCAATGTGGCCACGGCACTGGCAGCTACGGGTTCCGGAGACTTCTCCTGCTTAACCTTGATGACGGCGGGCGCTGTGGTGCCTGGCTTCCAGTCGCTTCCGCTGAGCTGCTTGTAGTCGGCCTTTAAGCTGAGCAGCGTCTTGACGGCGTCATCGACTGCCTTCAGATCGCGCACCTTCTCGCCCTGGGCAGCTATTTGGGCCAGCACGGAAGCAACGTCTGTGGAAGCTGGAGTGGAAGCTGGAGTGGAGGCTGGAGTGGAGGCTGGAGTGGAGACTGGAGTTGCGGCTACCGTACCTGGCTTCCAATCCTGTCCAGTCAGCGTCTTATACTGAGCCTTCAGCTCCAGCAATTGCTTGACAGCTGCCTCAATTTCTGGCTTCGCAGCCTTCTTGCTCTTCAGCTCGCGCACCAAATCGCCCTGCTTGACAATGCTGGCATTAACGGCGGCTGCGTCGTTGTTGGGTGTAGCTGCGGCAGGTGCAGCAGGCGCAGCTTGTCCTGGCTTCCAATCCTTGCCACTGGCTGCCTTGTAGTCCGCCTTCAGGCTGAGCAGTTGCTTAACTGCAACGTCGATTTGGTCTTTGGCTGCCTTCTTGGCCTTCAGCTCACGCACCAGATCGCCCTGCTGGCCAATCTGCTTGTCCAATTCCGACGTATTATTCGATGCTTTATTGCTGGCAGCCTAAAAATACAAGAAAATTAGCCAAAGTCAACTTAAAATAATGCAAATGAAGCACTCGAAAGTCTTTTGAGTACGTGTCAACAATTTTACTTTCAACTTCGCTTGCTTCTTCTTCTTTCTATGTGTTGAGCAGAAGCTATCGAAAGTAACGAACCGATCGCATGCGACGTCTGCAGCCAACTGGTTTTTGGCCCTTGTCACTTGGCGTTAGAGATGAGCAACAGAAGCGAAACTGTGACTGCGCTCGATGTGAGTAACAAGTAACTATTCCGTGACTGATTATGTGAAAAAACTCTGCTGACTGCGTACTATTTATATTTTTGTGATATTTTCGAATTAAACTGAACTTGTTCAGTTTATAAAACCAAATAAATATTTTAATATTTGTGATAATAGATATTTATAACTTATTTAGTGCCTAATTGAGGATCACCCTTCTATGCGATTCTCATGATTTCAAGTACAGTTCTCTAAAATTGATCTCACATTGACATTCTGACTGACATACTAATTATTGGAACACTCTGTTGACTGCTATTTATATTTTTTTTTTTTTTTGGTTATTTTCGAATTTAACTGAATTTGTTTAAATCAATTAGAAACCAGTTTATAAAACCAAATAATTATTTGAATATTTGTGATATTAGATATTTATATGTTATTAAAAATTATTTATTGCCTAATTGTGGATCACCTTTCTATGCGATTCTCAGGATTTTAAGTGCAGTTCTCTCCTCTCTAAAATTGATCTCACATTGATATTCTCTTTAACTTTGACTAAATTACACCAAGTCCCACTCTTTCTCTCTCTCTCTCTCTGTACCTCTCTGTCTTACCTTAATCTGCTTCCCTCATTCTTAGCTAGACCCTTTCTCTCACTTGCTAAATCGATTTTTTTAAATAACGCTTTAAAATGATCGTTTTGAATATTATTTGATCCACTTTTTTGACCCCTCGTATTCTACAGTTTTACAGGGTATCCCCTACATTATAATATTCGAATTGGTGGATTGTACTTACATTTGTTTTGGCAGCCGGCGTCGGAGCTGTATTAATCTTTAGACCCGAGGAGGGCATGTCCTTTGTGTGGCCATCGGGTATGGAGAAGAGTATGATGGGCGAGGCGACATTTGTGTAGGCACTGGGCGGGGCATATGCGTTGTCTACCTTGAAGAAGCCGCGACGTTGCAGCTGAATGATGTCGCCCTTTTTGCATGTCTTGAGCTCGGGATCGCCGAGCATCTGGACTTCGTCGCGCGTCTTGTGGCCAATGAACTGCTTGAAGTCCTCGTCCTTGCCCAAGACGGCTTTGCTGATGATGTTATCAAAGTAGACGCAAAACGTGGGCGGATAGGCACTGGCATCGTCCTCCACCGCGAGCCAGGTGAGTTTCAAGGTCTTTTTAAAGTCCTTGTTGTCCAAATTGAGCGCCGCATCCACTGATGTGATGGCGCCGGTGGCATCCTTGTGCACCTTCTTGATGAGCAAATTGCCCCAGTTGATGAAGGTGGCATTTTCGCCCTCTTTGAGCGCCTCAGCATCCGCATAGTCAATGTAGATGCGCGGACCCAACGTGACGGTCTTTGTGCCCAGTTTCTCATCCTTGGGATGCACAGGCACCTGCACCTTTTCCAGCTTGGCACCTGCCACATTCACAATGATGCGCCTGTCGTGCTCGAGGGCCGTGTAACGCGGCGCAATGGGATCAATGACTTTCTTGTTGAAGGCCCAGATCTTATCCCAGTTCATAAAGACCACCGATTTGCTGCTACCCTGGGCAATGATGAACTCCTTGAGCCCTTCGACCGTCATGCCACGTCGAATGATGCCGCGCACCGTGGGAAAACGTGGATCGTCCCAGCCATCCACCAGGCCCGATTCCACAAACCAGGTGAGCTTCCGTTTCGAAAGCACCGTATTCGTCATATTAAGGCGACTGTATTCCCAGATGTAGGGCTTGCGCAGCTTCAGTGCATCGATAAACCAATAGAACTGATCATCACGATCGTGGTACTCCATGGTGCGCAGTGTGTGCGTCACATTCTCAATGGCATCGACAATAGGGCAGGCGAAGTCATAGGTAGGATAGACCCTGAAGATTAGAGACAGGTAATTAGTGGAAGGTGGGTACAGGGTATCTCCTGGCTGGCTAACTCACTTGTATTTGGTGCCTGTGCGCGGATGGGGCTCGTTCTTGCAGCGATATATGGTCGGATCACGCATGCAGCCATTGGGCGAGGACATGTCAATCTTGGCGCGCACGCAACACTTTTGGCCAGCCTCGGTGCCCTGCAGCATCTGCTGCCACAGGGACAGATTCTTGTCAACAGCTAAATAAAATGTTTTGGATTAAAAAATCAAAGATCTTGACAATGGTAGACACTTACAGTTGGAACGATTCGCCGACTCGACGCGCTGTTCACGCTCCAGCTTCATTTGCTCGGGCGGCGTATCGTCCACGTAGGCCTTGCCCTCCTTCAACATTTGTACGCAGTATTCAAGCATGAGATCAAAGTAGTTGGAGGTGTGCGTGAAGACATCCGGCTTGATCTGTAACAGCTCCAGATCCCCGAGTATGACATTTTCGAATTCAACAGTCTCTTTGGCAGGATTGGTGTCGTCGAAACGCATTATCAGTTTGCCCTGGAAGGCCAGGGCGTAGTATTGATTGAGCAGCGCCGCCTTCGCGTGTCCAATGTGCAAATAACCAGAAGCCTCTGGCGGGAAGCGCACCACAACCTTGCCCATCTCAGCGCCAGGCAACTCTACAAATTTGCCCTCCTGCTTGCGCTCGCCGCTCTTTGCCACGGGCTCATTGATGCTGCGCTTGACGCGCGCCTCCTCCGGCAGGGATTGCAATACCTTCTGTATCAAGGGCTGGGCACTGATCAGATCATACCAGCGCTGCACGTGCTGTGGAATGCCCTTGGCGGAGAGGAACTCGTAGCGCGAGTGCATTTCATTGAACAGCGCAAAGTCGGCAATGGTCAACTTATTGGCAACCAAATACGTAACCGGCGCAATGGACTTGTCCAGGAAGGACATGGCCCACGATATGTCATCCTCGCAGGTGAGCGAGAACGACAGCCAGTGATCGATCTGTGTGCGCTCAATCGCCGTCTCGCCATATAACTTATGATCGGGTGCAGCACGTGCCAGCGCGCGCAGCACGTCGTTGTTCGAGTGGCAAACCAGGAGACGGTTGTCCGGGAACTGCAACGAGGTTTCCTTGCTCCAAACAATTTCCACGGGCACCGATGAGCTGATTAAATGCGCCGTCGCCAAACCGCCTGAGTGTATAGGAGAAAGTGTTATTTAATTGATAAAAAAACTGATGCAATCCGATATATTTTGTTCATAAATAGATTAAAGCGCAGGCAATACCGAATTTAACCATAACCTCACAATATTGCAGGCGCTTGGTTCACACACAATTACGCTCTTACGCTACTTACTTATGGGTGGATTGTTAACGTTTGCCTTTAATTTAATAGACATTTTGCCTATCAGTATATTCGTTTGCAAACTAAACTCAAATTATGAAATTGTTCGACTTATATGCAAGTGCACGGCAAGCTGCCACAACGTCGCTTTTATTTTGATGAACGAGGAACTAAACTATTGAACTAGATCTGTTTGCAAAAAAAAGAGAACCACTGAATAGCTCTAGTGATATTCCCTCATTTGATTTTAATGCTGTGAACAGCTGTTTGAAATGAATTTAAACGCCTATACGTCAGACATAAAATTTGGAACATTATTGGAATATTTACATAGGGTGTTGTTTAAATGATTGGTAACATTTAGAACAAAATATTTAGCAGCCTATGTCTTAATCGATTTTCATTATTTTAAATCGATAGCACAAATGTTTTTGCCATTCACAGTAAAATGTACGACAGCTGTTTAAGTGCTTTTACAGTGACTGTCAAAATTTGTGGAAGAAGCAATTTTTTCTTTATGTGCTGAGTGAAAAAATACAAGCTTTGGTAATATTTCTAGTATTTGCGCCGCTAAAAACCTAAAAACTCACAGCTGCAACAGTTATAATGGTAAGTAAATAAAGATTCATAAAAGTTCTGCTTAAGTTAACATAATAATGAAGCTTAAAGCGCTGTCGTCTTGCTACGCTGGCCAATGCCACTCACCTGAGTCACCTTTTTGATTCGATAAGTGCAGATGGCCGCTGCCAGGAGATCTTCCGTCTTATTTACTGCTGCTAATTGGTGTATTTATTCGTTATAGATGCTTTTCATGCTGCTGTTCAGTCGGCAGGGCAAATTGCGGCTGCAAAAATGGTATATGGCCTATCCAGACAAGACCAAAAAGAAGATAACACGTGAGCTGGTCACGACGATATTAGCGCGCAAGCCCAAGATGTGCTCGTTTCTCGAGTGGAAAGATTGCAAAATTGTCTACAAGCGGTATATACATAGAGTTGTTATTTGTTTGTTTATTTGTGCTTGACTATTTTGTAATTATTGCAGCTATGCCAGCTTGTATTTCTGTTGCGCCATCGAGCAGAACGACAACGAGCTGCTGACACTGGAGATAATCCATCGCTATGTCGAGCTCCTGGATAAGTATTTTGGAAGCGTAAGCTATAGAATATTATTGTGTGTGATCAGTAAGGTTTATATAGGTGTGTCCTTGCAGGTCTGCGAATTGGATATCATATTCAATTTTGAGAAAGCGTATTTCATATTGGATGAGTTGTTGATCGGCGGCGAGATTCAGGAGACATCGAAGAAGAATGTCCTTAAAGCGATTGCCTCACAGGATCTGCTACAAGAGGTCAGTACACCCGAGATATATGAACTATAATGCCTAGCGTTGTGTGTACATAAGAATATCTTTATATATGCCGGATATATTGTTAATTGTTCCACATATTTATTCAATTCGCTGGTTTATCAAATTTTGTTTTTTTTTTTTATATTTATCTCGTTAGTATTTGTTTTCATGCAATTTTTAAAAAGTCATTTCATGCATATCACTCGGTACATATACGTTTCAAATTCTACTACTTAATTATTGTTTTGACTTTCTCTACTTTTCTGTAATTTGTGCAAACGAAACTAATCGACTCTCTATACTTATATATATATATATACATCTAACTGAATTTTATGATATTGAACACCAAAACCAACAGCAAGAAGAGTTCTTTTACTCACTGCAATAGCCAACTACATATTTACGCAATTGAAACTGAAACTGTTATTAGCTTAAGTTTAATTTAATTTGTATTGAATTTTATGATTTGCGTACTTTTGTCATTGCATGCCACATGCGCGCCTCAATTTATGTTCCGAAACAACTTGCCACCAAGCCAAACAAAAACGAAAAACGAAAAAAGAGAAAGAAAAAAAAAACATTTATAAGAAAAGTATCCGCAACTAAATGTGAGAATTAATTGAATGCGTTTTATCACAGTATTTAGCTTGCCATAATTGTTAAACCTATAGATAAAGATATTCAATTTAGTTCCGTCCACTTAACGTATATATCTATGCATATATATATATTTATTGCCATTAAAATGTAGTCAAATGTGTTGTAGTACAATTTGTGTATTGTTGTTTCCTAAAACTAAACATTATCGAGAAGAAGGTATCACGTTATTTGTTTTGCATGATCTTTGTAGCTTGTGGTTCCATTCCTCGTTTTCCGTAGTACTAATCTACTAACTAACTAAATTAATCAAGACCGTGTTGCGATATACACACACACAAAACTTATTTAACAACATATCTAAATGTGTAACCATAATACCCTCTCTCTTGTTATTATTAACGCTTGCCCTACCCGCCACTGCATATATCGATGTTAATACAACCATCAACAGGACTTCAATGAGTATTTAAACTAATCAGAGTTGACAAAAAAAAAAACGATGCTTAAAAAAATAATATATAAATAAAAAAAAAGAAAACTGAAAAGATTCCATTTACCGAACAACTAATAATAATAGTTTTTAGGTCTGCTGAGCCTTAGTCAGGATATTTTTTTTTATCATTATTTAACAGTAAAAGTCCTTTGATAACAAAGTCAAGGTTGTAAATATATTGCAAAAGCTTTTTCCTGTTTTGGCCGGCCGCACACATCAGAGATTGTTCGCTGCAATGCGTAGTTTGTGTACCGTTCCGCCCTGCCCGCCACGCCCCGTGCGCTTGCAATACATACGCATACATACATACATACTATGTACAAATAACTGTTTACACATGCTCACAACACCGTTACAACGTGCTACATACAAAGCTGTGCCGTACTCTTCTTCTTTTAACAACATGAAACACACGAACTAAAAGTAAATTAAATTCACACACATACACACACACTCTCACACAGCTACTACACGTTTTTTCTATGTATCTACTCTTCTTGTTCTTATTGTTCTTATTCTCTGTACTCCAGGACGAAGCTGTTGAGGGCACTTTAAGAGACATTGGACTACTCTAAAAGAAAGCCAATACGTAGAATGTAGTTGTTATTACACAAATGCAAACATGCACGCACGCCCATATAGAACACACACACGCACACACACACACACAGACACAGACACACTCATGTATACATAAGTACTTAGCTGCAGCAATATGAGTGCACAACATTCACACCTTACACCGTATGTAAAGAAAAAACTATGTGTGTGTGCTGTTAAAGCCTTAAAGTAAAACTATAGAACATCATTTGGAATTCACAAATAAACAACAAAGTGCAATTAGTATTTTCACATAGCGAGGCTAAAAATAGAAAGAAAGAAAAAAAACAGTTAAGACAAGTGCATAGCTAATACAACAACCATATGGCGCGGTCGTCCCCTCATCCTTAGTCTTGAGAAAAGTTCATGCAAAACGCAAATACCCAACATTTTAAATAACTTCTCATAAGCGTTTATAATAACTTATTTAGAAAATCATTCCGAGACCATCAAAAAAGAAAGCAATATTGTTTCTTCTTACTTCCAAATGGGCAATAACAGTTGAAACTAGGGAAGAAAAAAATGCAATACATAGAAAAAGTAAGCTTTAAATTCGTAACAAAACAAAAAAAATAAATTAAAGAAAATTAAATAAAAGAACATGCGGAAAATGAAATGAAAAATGAAAATGTAAAACTCTTAGTAGTAAATAATATACTATATAAAAAAGAAAAAAACCAATAGTTTATATACAAAATATATATATATTTAACTCTCTCTATATATACATATGTGTGTTGTACATTTTAGCCAAATTCCTGTGTTTTGTATTCAATAATAAAAACAAACGAAATATTTTTTAAAAAAAACACCAAAACTGTATGTATGTATTTGTATGTAAAAATTATGTACTTAATATGCTTAGAGGTAAGGTTGAACGGTGATCGTTGTTTTTTTTTTTTTAATTTCAAATTTTATTTGACCCTTTTAATTTAATATTATTTTAATTGTTATGTTACGCCTTTTGATTGCTGCTATTGGTAATACGATTGTTTGACACTGGCTCAATTCACTGTGCTGACTTTAACCATTTCTCCTCTCTCTCCCCCCACTTTCTCTACGCCTTGCTCTACGAATACTCTGTCTATATACTCTATCAACAAAAATCGAAATTTTGTGTCTCATAGCTTAATGTTACCTAGTTTACTTTAGCAAAAACCAACATACGAAATATTTTTGTGTAGCGCATTAATTATTCAATTAATTTACGTTTTTGTTGGACCTACATCGAAAGGTGAAATTCCGAAGTATACATAATGAAGAACGCATTTCCATTTTACAGGATGAAACACCGCAAAGTTTCTTTGACGATCATGGCCTTGGCTAAAGTGCAACAAATGCAACGAATCCCTCTAACCATAAAAGTCGCCTTAATCTATGCGTGTATTTGTACTTGTATTCAACATAACCGAAAAAGTATATATGTCGTATTTGGTCTTATTTTTAATGATTATCCTGTTATCAGCTACAACTTTTTACACACACACACACAAATGCTGTTAAACACATATTTATTCAAATGTACTTGTAGCCTATTCCATTCAAAAACAAACGCATGGCAAATGTAATTTGCCAACATTAAAAAACGACTTTAAAAATTAACATAAAATAGAAAAACAACAAGCCTTGTTGTACACCTGCGATTGAAGGTATTGCCGTCTGGCGCTGGATTTTGAATATATCGTCAAAACGTCCCACATTCATATAGATGGAACTAAAATATGTAGTTAAAGTAAACGTACTAAAAACCTGCGTGCTCAAATATATATACAAAATATATAAAAAATATATATATAAAATAACTTATACAATTCATAGCTACGCACAATAATATATCATCTTTAAAAATGAAGCTTCATTTTTTAACTGCTGACAAAATTTGTTACACTTAAATGCAAATAAAAATCAAATTTATTTAGAAAACGTTTTCTTATTCACATAATCCACCTCTAATACTGGTCACACTGCACAGTACCGATAAGTCGATTTAAGTCCAAAAGTGATTTGTGTCTTGGCTAGAAAATGTTGCTGTCCACACTTAACTCAAGGAGCTGCTGCATACTTAACGAAGTAACTGCCGTTAATCTTGCAATTGGATTCTCGTTGCTAAGGAAGTATACGGTTTTGCTGGAATAGGGTCTTTTAATCAATCTTTCTTCGTCAGGCCGATCGCAAGAAGTTAGTTACATAGATATCACGGCCCATATTTATATTTTGTTTCAGCTACGCAGTAATTTAATTAATGAATATATATCGCAATTACATACGTGTTGTTTTATTTATTACGATATATTGCTTATCAATCGTTTGATGCTGGTTGCCTCTCGATTATTTTCTTTATCGATGTATTTATATCGATGACAGATTAAAACTTTCATCATCTGTCGAAAAGATGAAACCCTGAGCGAGCGCCTTAACGGCTGAGAGAGAGAGAGAGCATGAAATGAAGACAAAGATAAAGAGCAAGAGCGCGAAAATGAGAGAATGTGGGCAATACTCCCGCTATTTTCCCGTTGTTGTTGGTGGGACTTTCCGCTGCGGCCGCCAAAAAATTTCAACACGCCGAATTTGCGGCCAGCAGCCGAGTGTCGCAGCTAGCGAGCGTTGAACAGTTTTCGGCCCCAGTCAGAGCGCACCATCGTCTTCAGCGAAGCACAAGCACACACAACCACTAGGTGTGTGCTCTTTGTACGTTACGGGGGCACTGCCACACACAGAGAAGAATTTTCATTTTCACATACCACACACCAAAGTAGGAAAAATGTACAAGAAAAAAAGAAAAACTTGAAAACTTGTACATTCGAATTGTGAAAATTTTCCATTCAACAATAAAGCGAAGCAGTCGCAGTGCACAAAAAGGAAAATATTAACACGCGAAACATAAACGTAACCGAAATTAAAAATCCAGTGCTAAAAATCCCCAACGCCTGTCAAAGGGCGCAAGTAAAATGACGAACAATTTGCAAACGCAGTCGCAGCAGCAGTGAAAATTTTTTAAGTCCCGCAGCGGAGATGTGTTAACGAAAATGAAAATGAAATTGGAAAATTATTGTGCAAATTTGCAGTGGCAGCAGCAGTTTCAGTTTTGCGAATTGCCGTCGTCTACGTTGTCCAGCAAAAATATATGGTACATACATTTTGTATCTGCGCGTGTGCCTGCCTGTGTGTGTGTGCGTGCATGTGCGTCTGTGTGTGTGCGTGAAAATTACGTTGTCATATGTGCAAAGTTCGCCAGCGTAGGTTGAACATCTCATGCAGCTAATGCAAAATGCGAAATTTCGAAATGCAATTAATAAAACTTAAATCGAGGACTGTTTGTTTTTTTTTTTTTTGAACATTGGTCAATTGCAAAATATATATAAAATAACAGGCAAGCATTCAAGGACTATGCTGTTATATGTGTGGGAGTGTGTTAGTGTGTATGTGTGGCGAGGAGTCAACGTTGTTGGCAGCCGCAGCACAGGAGCAGCCGAGGAAGCAAGAAAAAATTCTCTATCTATTGCGATTTGCTCATGCGGCTCGAAAAGAGCGAGCCACACAACGTTTGTGGAGAGAGAGCGAGAGAGAGAGAGACAGAGAGAGAGAGAGAGTGGAGCTGTGGGAGGCAACTGGCAATGGGCAGTGGGTGCTATGGCCACGGGCAGTGGGTGCAAAGTGTTGCGGCTGCTGCCTGTGTACATATGTATGTATACATGCGTTCCACACACACACACACACACGCACACTTATGTTAATATGTATGTGTGTGAGTGCGCTCATCTCGAGCTGCCCAATTTCTAGCCTCAGCATCGTCAATAATTTCATTTTATTTCAATAACGATTCGCACCCAAAATAACAAAAAAAAAGAAAGAAACCACAATTTATGCGGCATTAACCCCATCAATGCCACAATAAGCAGCATTTGTTGCAAAAATTTCAATGTGTGTGCTCCATTGTTCTTTGTTTCCTTTTGTGGCGCTTTTCGATGTGATTTATCCTTAAACTTGGCAACTTTTTGCACACACTTTCGCCTCGGCTATGCTGTGGTGAATTGGCCACTGCGCATGCCACCTGGTGACCAGGACATGAACATAAGCCTCCCACGTCGACGGCAGCGGCAGGTCTTTGTGTCATATTTGGCTCATACAATTATAATTACATACATATGGATGTATATATGCATACATATATATTTACATATGTATGTGTGCATATTATATACGTATGTATGTGGGTACAATGGATTAGTATATCTGTAGAGATTGTGGCTGTTGCTGGTCCTTTTCATATTGTCATAAAGCTGAAAATTTCAAGTGTGGCATCTATTATTAGAATTTGTATGAGTTAATGGTCAAGCTTTGCCGTCTGTCCTTGGCCGAACGGAGCCCTGGGTGTGCTGTGCGTGGGCGTTATAGAAGCACCTACACATACAGCCTCGCACACACACACACACACACACGCACACAATCGGGCATACGGTTCAGTGTTTTCCAAGAAATGCCAACTATGCGGTCATCATTGCTGCTCCTGCGTCTGCTCTAAGAAATCCGGATTCTATGGTGCATACTTATTGGGGCAGTTTCTGGACAACTCGCTGGCAAACGCAATTTAATTTTCATTCTATATTAGCTTTCATGCAACTATAAAATGTTGAATGCAATTTCCAACGGGAATATAACTTACTCAGTCTCAGTCTCAGTGTCTCTCGCTCTTCCTCGTTTATCCACTCGCTTGCAGTCGCTATCGTTCGGGCTGGCTATCTCTTGACACGCTGTTGATATCATATTTTTGCCAGTTTTATTATTATATGATGCCTACTACTTTCAATATGCGCGTGGAGTGTGGGGGATGTGCATGCTCAAATAACGGGTATTGCTGCTCATCGCAAACTCACCACGCATAGCCTTGCTCCCACTCTCGCGCACGTTCGTTTTCTCCTCGCGCGCTCTCTCTCTCTCTCTATTTTTTTTGGTGGGCGCTCGAAAACTCCCGCTAGTGTATATTATGTTATCTCGAAACTTTTATTGCCTGTCGTTTGGGGGTGCGGCGCCCACGTAGCGAAAAGGAGGCAGCACCAAGAACGAAAAAGCATACTCCAACTGCGGGCCTCGAACCTAACTAACATACCAATATATTCGCTGCTGTTGCAAACGTTAATTCAAACAGAAAACAAATAAAACGCGACGGACGCATTTGAAATTGTCTATAAATATATGATTATAGATACAATGAAAATCAATTGAATTTTTAATCAAGTGTTTTTAATGTGCAAATTCGTTTTTTTTTAGTGCAGCGCTTGAAGCAAAAGTCACCGTTAATTGTAAATAAGTAACAAAAAGTATAACAACAAACACTCCACCAAACTCGAAACCTATAGTAAACAAAAATAATTATAAATATACAAGAAAAAAAACCACAAAAACAAAAATGATCTACATATTTAGAACCCAATAACTATTATTAAATGTAAATAACAACGTAGCCTTCAAACTATACCTAAAAAAAAAAAAAAACCAAAAGAATTTATAATATAAAGGATATTATAATAATAAATAGTTATTGCTGCTAATTAAGAACAAAGTGTGGGCGCAGAGGCGCAAAATTCCGGCAAGCAAATGTCTGGATAAAAACAACAACCAGTTAACCAATGGATGAAAATGCAGCCGTCGTCGTCATTTTTGTCGTCGTCGTCGTTGTCCACTTGTCATCGCTTTTGTCAGCCTCAGCAGCAACAGCAGCAGCAGCAGCAACAGCCGGAACCGGAGCCGCTGCCACAGCAACAGCAACAACAACCTCAACAGCAACCAAAACACCAAAGGGCCGCAGCAGTTGCAGCAGCCGCAGCAGTTCAGCAGCCGCAGCAGTTGGCGCAACAAGGAGCAGGAAGACGGGTAGGTGTAGCAGTGTGCACAGATCACGCCTACTTTTGTACGCCCACATTGCCGCCGACGCTGACGCTGCCGCTGCCGCTGCCCAGCTCAAGCACAAGCCCAAGCACTCTGCCACTGCCTCAGCTGGCTGCGGCTTAGTACGCACCAGTTTCTTCAGTTAGTTGGCTTGCCAAATCATTCTAAAGGAGCTCAACAGGAGCACCACAGCCCATCGCACAAGCAACAAGCAACAAACAACAAGCAACAAACAACAAGCAACAACAACACCAAATAAAGCACAAACGCTTCGACAACAACATCTACAATAACAACTACAACAATAACAACAACAATAGTAATAACAATAGACAGCACACAAAGTCGTCTCGTGCCAATTAAAACCGCAACACAACAAACTAACAACAGCAACAGCAACAACAAGAACAAGAAAAACAACTGCAACAAGAACAAGTACTTGAAACGGACCCACGAGATTTTCGAACGGCGCCAGAGTTACGCCCGGAAGCTGTAGCTCTCTCTCCGTAGATGACAAACAAAATGGCGGATGGTGGGCATTCATTTGTGAAGAAGACATTTCATAAGCCAACCTACTGTCACCACTGCTCGGATCTACTGTGGGGCCTCATACAGCAGGGCTACATATGCGAGGGTAAGTACATACTAATTACCGTTAAGCATCCCGTTAAATATCCCAAGCAATCGCAATATGATTCCTTAAATAAAGTTCCCAAGGGAGTTGCAATGTGTTGTAAGTATATTTCGATGAAAGCTCTCTTGAGTGAAAAGCTACGAGTTTTTTTGTTCTTCTCAGCTGCAAATATACCAAAAAGCTAGGAAAAATACATAAATTAGGCTTCCTTGCACTTTTTATTGTTTAAATGTGATTTGTATAAATGTGATCAAAAAAAGCATTCAAATAAAAAGAGTTTCTTTTGCTTTATAAGGCAGTCCACTGTTTATTTCTATTAAAAGAAACTTTTACCATATGAAAGCTAATTTTCCGACCGATTCTCTATAGAGCTATGATATAGTAGTGCGAAACTAATTAAGTCAATATATCTGGAAAAAGATTACTTTTTAAAAATAGAAATTTAATATCAATCGATCATTCCCATGGCAGCTATCTAAGATAGAGGTCCGATCATTTTTGGTGCCTGCAGAAGACAGACGGACCTATACAAATTTGCATTACGATAGCTTTTTAAACTGAGAGACTAAATTGCATAGAAACAGATAAAGGGGCGGACATGATATATATAGATATAATATTGACTTGGCTCTCAATACTGATAAGAAATATTTGTACTTTCTGGCGTCGGGAATGTGTCTTTCTATTATAAATTATAATACCCTCAAAAAGGGTAAAAAAAGAGATTTTTTGTGAAAACATTCAACATTCAGAAATGTAAGTTTCGACAATTAGAGAAAAACGTCTAAAATAATTGGTCCGGTAAGGGAGATGTCCAACCAATATTAGGGGCTACATGGTATTATACGACTTGTAATTAATGAATACAGTTCAAAAATTGCACATATTATTAGTTTTTATATTTTACTATATAAATTTGGGCATTAGGAAAGTTTAAATAGCTTCCTATTGAGTTAATGTGTTTTTTTTTTTTTAAAAGAATCAACAGGCGAGTCGATTCACTCATATTCACATATTCATATTGTATTTTAAAGGAATTAACAAATTAACTCAGATTTTATTGATTGATTTTAAGATTGCATATAAGCTAAATCTTATTAAGATCAGAGCACCGTATTATAAAGGCGACATAAGAATAATCATTCGAAAATTAAGTTCTGAGATCAACTTTTTTGTTAATATAACTCGACCCAGGTTTATTTATTTATTTATTAATTTTATTATGCTCTTTATACATATATCTTCTCAATAATAGACAATAATATGATATAGGTCATATGAAAAAAAAAACGGCCGAAAAATAAGTTTTAGTAGAAAAGAATTTTGTTTTACAAGATATCTAACAAACTAGGGTTTAATATTCGGCGTGCTTGATTTTTGTTGCCTCAATATCTCAATAACTTAGAAGGTTCTAAATTATATAATGGATAAGATTTTGCTCACATGGCAGAAGAAGACCTAGAACGGAAGAGATATCGTTGTGATATCTGACAAATAAAAACAAGATTTCGCATGAATAAAAGGTTTTTTAGACCGATAATTCCCAGGGAAGCTACATGATAATCATGGTAGTCTCTTCCAGACTATACCAACAAGGTTCATAGAGATCCCGAAAGGAAGAGCTAAGGAAAGGAAGGAAGAGCTAAGCTAAATCTGAAGTCTAATGCACTTTTAAGAAACGCTCGTTAACGAGCTGTTCTATTTTGATATTTCTGGCATAATTTAAATATACCAAGAGGAACAGAATCAAGTCGGAAATAAAAGAATAGCCAAGAAACCATATACCATTAAAAGAAGCTGAGAGAAAAGCAGCAGCCCTTCGAATGTCAGCATCTGCGTCTTGTTATAAAAGTGTTTTGTTGACTTTTCACATTCATCAAATAACTTTATAACTTTTATATATAAATATGTATAAAGACTAGCGGAAATTGCCCGGCCTTGCCCGTGGAACGTTTTGTGCTACAAATTTTAGATATTATCTTTTCACTTGGCACACGTCCGTGGAAAATTGAAATCTACCCATCTTGATCTTCACTTCTATTTAAAAATATGTTTTAAGTGCATCGAATAAGGAAGCAAGTGTTGGAATCAGAGGCGTACGCCCATGTTAGTATAAATATATATATCATATAAATATTTAAATAACATATACATATATCTTCCTTATATTTTGCCAAATGGAGCAGAGTATTCTCATGCAAGATATAGCCTTGAAGTTCCATATGGGATATAGAAAATATATATGGCTTTTTTGTACTTTGCGATAATAGAGAAAGTATTCTCATGCAAAATATATCCTTGAAGTTCCTTATTCTCCATATTGGATACATAAAATATATATCTTTCTTATACTTTTCAATAATGGAGTAGATTATGCTCATGAAAGATATATCCCTTGCATATTCTCCATATAAGATATATTTATTTTTCTTGTAGATTATTCTCAATGATACAGCCTCAAAGTTGCATATGCCACATGTTGCAAATAATATTAGAAAGATCTGAGGGAAGCAGGATCAGTTACGCGATATAATTTCGTATACTTAATAATTAAGTTGCCATTCAAGTCGCACTATTAAAATTTTGTGGAATTGTTTTGTTATATGCCAAGCACTTTTGGCTTATAGTCCGGCTGCCAAGTTGAATTAAATGGGCATTAAAATGGGCTGAAACGGGCGAAATCCGAGCAAAAATGGCCACAAAATGTATAAAAATAGTTTCGTCTAGTTTCGGAAAATACTTTTTAAATTGTGAGTGTGATTTTTACAAGCTGCATCCGCACGTTCCCCACATGAACAACGATGATCAATGATAATGATGACGATGATCATTATCGTGATCATTATGGTGATCATCATGATGCTATTTGCGGCCAAAAGTGTGCGCATTTGAACTTCCCAGCACCGTGACGTTAGCCCCGGCCAACGACGTCACAGAATCAGACAGCATCTCGACCGGGCAGTTGGCAGTTGGGGCTGGTGTTGGGGCTGCGGCTGCGGCTGGCCACGAGAATCTATCAAACTGGGGGCCACATCGGCAACGGACAGGCCAATCGCTGCTGCTGCCGCCTCTCCCAATTGGAAGCGTGTTAAGCGCCGCACGTTAATTTGTTTATTTCTTTGCCTTTGCCTTTGCTATTATTATAATTATTGCACAGCGCGCTTTGCTTTGTTTATATAACGTCGATTTCTTTGGGAGGATCGCGAGGCTCACGCGCTCTGCCAAATAGTTCGCCTAGCCCCATTTATGTTACGGGTCGCACGGCAAGCTGCAATCAGTTTGAAATTTTGTTATCCCCTCTACACACACACACACACACACTCACTCACACACACATTCGTAACTGTGCGCCGTTGACAGTTTGAGCTAGAAATAAACGCTTGTCTCTGGCATATTTCAATTGCAATTATTTATTTTTCAATATATTTATTGCAAGCGTAAACGGGTTGAGTGTGCGCGACTAGCAAATACCCTGTAGCCAGCTTCGTGCTTATACCCTGCAAGTGTATGTGACACGGGTAGCATCTCCGATCCCTTAGGGTATATATAGAGTATATTCTTGGGCAATACCAATAGCCGAGTCGAGCTCAGAGATAGGTCCTCCTCGTCCTCCTCTTATTTCAAAACATCGATAACTTCCAGCGTTCCCATGAAATCGATATAAATCGATAGCAAATTCCCGTTGTTTGAGATTATCTCTGATCTTATAAGAACTAGATATACAAATAACCCAAAATTCAAATAAAAATCTTTAGTATTAACAGACATTTAGATGTTATAACTGGAAGAAGAAGCACTGTGTGTGTGTGTGTGTGTGTGTGTGTGTATGGAAGGAAGGTTTAATGATTGTAACAAGGTTCATGATATTCCCTAATAAGAACCCGCTCACAGTGAAAACTCTTCTAAGAGACACTCATCTTGGGCGAACAAGGGAAAATCTGTCAAACGAATTTGTTTATTTGTAGAATTTTTAAATCAGGTCACCCCCATTAAGCGGTCGACTGTCCGCTTAATAGAGTTTTTGCCGTATTTGATTTTGTAAATATTGCATGTTATAAATTTGTATCATAAATATTTTCCGTGCTTATTATCTGATCGTTGTGAAATTTTAAGTGCTTTAACTACGTTCAATTATTGCATATACAAAATATCTTTATATTCACAAAAGTGCGTCCTTTTTCGAAAATATTTTAATATAGTCAATTATATTTTACATGAGGATGCAACAGGTAAAGCTGCATACCACATATGACTTGTTTACTAGATAATAGATTGGTAGATTTTCAAAAATATAAATATATTACGCCGACAACTGACTGAATAAATTTGCAAAACTTGCTCTGATGTATCCATACATATGCATATATACTTAGTATATAACTATCTCTGGTTGGTCGCTGGTAATATGTTTTTAGTGCGAAAATTTGCATTGCATAGCCGCAGGCGTTGCTCTCATTAGCACACAAGTCGCATGCGAAGCTGTTTGCAGAGGCGTTGCACGCAGCTCTAATTGAGTTGCAGCCTCTAATTGCGTGTGGGACAAGGCTCAGCTCGGCTGCAACCGTGCAGGAGAGTGTAAATGAGAGTTGAGGTTGGGATTGAAATTAAGATGGCCCGGGCGGGGGCGAACAGTGCGCGGGCGTATGCAAGTCAAAGCCAACAATGATTCTGCAACTCTGAGAACTGAGCAAGGGCGAGAGCGAAAGAGAGAGAGCGAGAGCGAGAGAGACAACGAGCTGCAAGTCGCCCACACAGTTGCCAGGCAGAGCAACAGCGTGTTGCACTCTTCTCACTTGCTGTTAAGCCCGCCTGAAACTAGGTCGAGATGCACAAGCAATTACACACACACACACACACACAGACGCACAGAGGATGCGCACAGCTGCAGGCAACGTTTCAATTGGTTTTCAAGGGTTGCGGGGGCGCAATTGCCAACTGGCAATTGCAGTCGCATTCGCAGCAGCAGCCGCAGCAGCAGCAGCAACAGCAGCAGCAGCAGGTGAGCATAACAACCAAATTGAATGTGAAAAACTGTGTGGGCTTGTTACAAGCTGGCCCTGCCCGTGCATGGGCCTGTCCGCACACCTACACTAAGAAAAAAACCAATAGCAGCACACACACACACACACACACACACACAGCTGGCCAGCTGCTGTTCTAGCCGATAGCAGCGAAGGGCTAAAAGTGCGTCATCAATGGCCGCCATGAATGTGGCGGAACGCGGCCGAAAAACCGAGTGCCATATGGGCTAACGGCGGCCGACGGCGGCACGGCTGAGGTGCGCGGACCTGATGCCGTTTAATTGCCATCTTTGCACGACGTTGTTGCTGTTCATTCATGAAATGAAAGCCAAGGCAACAACTATAATAATAGCAACAAAAAAAAAAGCAAATGAATAAAAAGTTTTTGTTTTTTTTTTGTTTAAACTGTTTGGTCGTCAGTTTGGCTGGCATAGCCATCAGATTGGTGCTCGATAGCCCGGGGCGGTCTTCAAGTGGCATTGCTGACGTTTCACGCCCGGCCACTTTCATATATATATGTATATTTGGCTGTCAGATCCATCTCTATATATAAAACTGTTTGTCCTGACTAACTGAATGATTAGTAAAAAGCTAAAAAGCTGCAATTTTCACTGTAGCTACCTTATGGAATGGAGGTGGAAAATTCCACCAGGACCTTTGGAAAAATCGCTTAACGAAAAAGGTTGCCTGAAACTTTTCTGTTGGTAAAATTTCAAGCACAAAACTTGTCATGGGCAAGGCCGGGCAATATCCGCTAATTAAATATATTTAGTATACAAAATACTGTTATCTTATAACTAGGTATTTTTCCCACTTGAGAGCTTGAGAGCTTTCTTAAAATTTTAGATTCAAATCTATCGCTTTAAAACTGCTCACATATTTTAGGTATTCTTCTATGATTCCCTTTTGATATTAAATGAGATTTCATATATATATATCGATCCATCTAAAAATGTATCTTTTATTGGAAAGTGCAAAGAGATGAATCATGTAAAGGAATGTAGATCCTTTAAGGTTTGTCTCTAAGGAGTTGTCCTTAAGAGCCCTTTGAATAGGATCTAGTACACTGAAAAGATTCTCTAAGGGAGCATTCCTTAATGACTTCGCCCCATTGAGAGAAATACTTATTATGCTGTCGAAGCGATGAATTTCCATAAATATCAAGTTTGTTGTGCAGCACTGGAAAATTTCCAATACTAAAAATCTCTTGTTGGCCTTTGAAAGAAAACATATTTTACTCTTAATCAATCAAAGAATCTTCAAAAAAGAAGTAAGAGAAAGCTGAATTCGAAAGAGCTCTAAATAACTTTAGATATATGTAATATGAATGTTTAACAACAAATAACAGTTAGATATTAACATAATAAACATAGTATAAATCACATACTCATAAAGAAAAGATAAAATATTTTTATTTAATTAAGTTACAAAGCGATTCCTTTTATTATTCGGTTACATGGAAATGTTATGCATTTCTGTGACTTAAATAGTTCAAATAATTGGAGCGAGCATAAAGATAATCCAGCCAAAATCTGAATTGGTCCCAGGGTATGCAAATCCAATCTCTATCAAGTGGCGCAGCTGGCCGCAATGTCGGCGTCGGCGTCGACAGCGGCGTCGACGGCGACGTCGCGCGGGGAGGCGGCAGCAATCCGCAGGCACGACGCACACGATATCCTTGACTGTTGCCTTGTGTGTGCTTACGTACTTGCCAGAGCGCTCCAGAGTGTTGTGCGTGTGCGTGTGTGTGTGTGCGTGTGCGTGTGTGTGTGTATCTCGCACACAACAAGATTTGTAGCTGCGCGCATTTGCTTGAATTCAATTGAGTTGATTTCATTTGCAGCTTTACAAATTATATTTATGAGAAACTAAATTATGTTATGCTATATTCCGAGTCGTGACCTATAAATAAAACGCGGCTGCAATTTGATGCAATTTCTAATTTGACAAACAATTTGAATTGCATTTGGCTGCATTAGTTTGGCATAACAACATTTATTTTGAATCGTTGATAGTTGACATTTTCAAAGTTATTTTCAGTTCGAATGTTGCGTATACGTCATGCGGCTCGTGGTCGAGTTAAAGTGCGCACAGAATAGAATCGAAAGCGTTCTGTGTATTATTATTCATGCGTCACATTGATCCAATTATTTCTATATTTACTTATGGTTTCATCTATTTTTGAGCGAGTTTGGTTAGCTGTCAGGAAGTTTGATTCTAAATTGATTTCCTGCCCAACCAAAATCCATAACTCACAGCTGACAATGCAAAAATCTCTCTCTCGCCCACGCTGTGCGTGTGCGTGTGCGTATGCGTGTGTGTGTGAGTGTGGGTGGGGTGTGAGTTCTATGCAAATATCAATTTTAATTGTTGCTATTGTACTACGCATGTCAACTTGTGCCTATTCAATTGCCACAGCACAGCACAGAACACCCACACGCACACTGTACATATACGTACATGTATACATATACATATGCATGCAGTGTCGCATGAGTGTGTGTGTGTGTGTATGCGTGGCAAACATTATTCGCCACCTTAAACACATATATTTGTGCTTCGGCTTTGACTTCGACTTGCTGCCAACTTCTTTGAGTACTTTTCGACGTCTTTGCTTTATATTTCCTTTGTTATTGTTGTTATTAAAGCAACACACACACACACACACACACACACAATACACAACGACGTGAGCGCGCCCTCGCTAAGCAAAAGAAAGATGTAAAAGTAAAAGTGTGTTGAATTTCGTAAATTTCCCAACTAGTGCGAAGAAAAACATTTGAAAATTTCCCATGCGTCCTCGTCGCATTTATCTCCTCTGTTACCACACACATACAAGCACACACGCACACACACATACATATGCGTACTCTAACATTTTGGTATACATAATGCCAAAGAAAATGCAAACATATAAATATGTATATACATATGTACATACATGCAAATACTACATATATTTATAAAATACAGTTAACTAACCCTCGTAACGCTCTAAAACATTATACGATTCAGGCCACGCGCTTCGCTTGACTCAAATTATATATGTAGATGATCAAAAATGTATGCCTGCTGCTTTTTCCAAATATAATATTATGTTTCATTAATACACACTCACACATACACACGCTCAGATTGAGAGGCTGCAGTTGGTTTCGTGCCAGCGTCACGTTTACACGGCCAAAAATGATTATCCACTTTGAGCATGCAACATGCGCCGTAAACATTTCGAGTACTCGTTTATTTTTATACATAGCTGAATGACAACAACAACAACAACAACAAGAGCAACCAATTCATGAGTTCATTCATGACGTCAGAGCGTCAGCGTCAGGTCAGCGGCCTAGTTCGAGAACTAGCTAAATACATACAAACATACATATGTATTCACATATACAAATACATAAATATGTATATTAAAATGCAAATAAATGTAGATAGAATTATGAATTTATTTAGCTGTACATAAGGCGCAGTTTTGCACATTAATACCTACATATAAATGTACATATGCGTTTAAAATATGTATATATATATGTTCATTTATATACATGAAAAGTGTGTAAAACTTTCCGGATTTTCTTAAAATAAAATTCGAATTTCTATGCTGGGCTACACACAGCTGCACAAATACATAAAATACATACATTCATATATGTATGTATATACATATATAGCTGGGCTGCACTCAATGCCTTGCATGTATGTGTGAAGCTTTGCCCAGGACAGTGGCAGCGCTGCTTTGGTCACAGGTTGCGGTACTGCTGCTGCTGCTTCCATTCAGACACCGAACATGCAAACAGAGTGGCAATGGAAGTGCAAGTGGAAGCGAGAGAGAGCGAGCTCTTTGTTTGCCCTGCATTATTGCTGAGTTTGTTTTCGCTTTTGTGCGTAGCTCTCTCTCCCTCTCTCTCTGCAGCTTTTGCTTCTCTTTTTACGGTTAGCCACTTAGGGCTTGCTTATTTTTTGCTCCAGGTCGATTGTGAGTGTGTGCATGTGCATGTGCATGCAAGTGCTATTGTCCATGCATATGTGTGTGAGTGTGCTCTGTGCAAGCCTTCAATGAAAATGGTGCCCATGAACTCAAGAGCCCCAGCATGGCCCATTGCTATGAATGGCGCTAATGGGTGGCTGACGATGACGTGCGATTGTCCTCACACTCAGCCATAACATGTTCATTTTACATGTGTACATGCAGACAAGTGTACCGTGTACAGTAAAATCTCTATTAGCGATCAGCTAACTTAGCCGAGAAAATTGGTTTCCAAATTTTTGCAAGGCCCAAAAAAAATCCTCCATTTTTTGGTACTTTTATTATTTGCTATTAAGCAAACAAAATTATTAAAATAATCGATTATTTAGTTTTTTTTTTAAACCAATAAAATATAATAAAATGCGCCACCGTTTCGTCAATATTATTAGAAATTTTTGTATTCGATTTGGGCTTTTATTATTGAATTATAATATATTTAATATTTTGGTTGCCTTCTGTTTTGTTGAATATTAATAAATAAATATCTACATGGGAACTTGAGAATTACCTGCTTCAGCGATTAGGGAAATTCCACCCGCAACAGTGGTAAATTGGCGGAAAAGGTTTCAATGAAAGTTGATCGTTTATTTCTAAAGCTTTTTCAGAAAATATGTTTTATACGTGCCATATGTGTATGCAATGTTTTTAAACATATATTTTAATTTATCAATATTTATTTAGAAATCAATTTAAAAATATTGTTGTACAAATTGGGTGTCCGCTCAAGAGAGCCTTCACTGTACCTGCATAGCTAGCAACTTACTCGAGGTACTAAACTCAGGTTGTTATATTATGCAGCCTGTTTCACTTAGATAAGAACTGCCATTATATAGTCAGGGAAAATGTTGTCTCCATTCACTATTCTCTATTGAATGACACTTACATGCCCCCCCCCCCCCCCTCCCCTCTTCACCCTTCCCCCTTTTGCTTCTCTCTTGCAGTTTGCAACTTTATCATACACGAGCGATGTGTCAGCAGCGTGGTAACGCCCTGTTCCGGTATTGCGCCATGCATTATAAAGGTGGGTACACTATCCTACACACACACACATATATATATACTTGATATCTGTTTTACATTGAATAACTTGGCATCTGTCATGTCGTTGGACAGAATCCCGTCGCCCATTGTTGGTCGGAGCCAACTCATCACAAGAGAAAATTCTGCACCGTTTGCCGTAAGAGATTGGATGAAACGCCAGCGGTGCATTGTCTAGGTAAGCCAACATTTCACCCAGCGGATCGGGGGGCGGGGCGAGGCTGGGCTCGAAGCCCCAAACCGCCAACTAGTTTCAGGGCTGTCAGCTTATTTGAAATGCATTTCATAACCAATTCCTGTGCATGTCAAACATGGCTTCAATTTATTTATAGACGCCTCTAGATGTTATCTTATATTCGTTAAAGGCTATACTACATTACATTCAAATATCGGAGGCTTTATTTTCCATTACTAAATTTAATATAACTTCAATTCGGATTTCATTTGAAATGTTGCATACTTTTAGAAGCCCAACTAAAGACTCCCACTTAAAACTTATTAGTTTGAAGTTTTTAACACTATTTCTACCAAGGTTTTGTGTATACCTATTTTAACATCTTAGCTATTAAGAGTGGAAAAAGTTTTTAAAATTATTCTATTTTAATTTTTATTTTTTTTTGTGGAGGATTATTCTACCACTAAATTGATTTAACAATCAATTAATGAACTATCAAAAAGTAAATTTAGAAAAAAATGATTTAACTTAGTTAAATCAAGTTAAAACTAGAAAAGTTGTCTTTTGACAACTTTGGTATAAATAGTGTTAATATTTAAGGAAATGCACATGAAATTCGGTTAGAATGCATTTTAAATATAAATATAATAAGTGAATAGTTCTCTAGATAAATGTAGTAATAATAAAAAATTAACAAAAAAATTATAAATAAAATTTCAATTAAGTATATATAGATTTCTTGCCAAATATCAGAGTTTTTTCTTTCGAGAATATCCCAATGTGATAATAAATTTATTATTAACTTATTATCCAACATGTTCAATATAAGTTAAAGTTAAAATTTCCAGCTTTATACCAAAAAGCTATATCAATCTATTAAATCCTTCACATCTTTAACCCTTCACACTTTTAACCCTTGACAGTGTGCGAATATTTCGCGCATACCGAGTGCCAAGATTTTGCAGTGCCCGATTGCACCGAGAATGCAACATACGTGCCTGGCAAGGAATTGCTTAATGTGAGGCATCAAGTGAGTATAAAACTGATTTATTTATGATTTATTTGCGATATCCAATACACTATATAATATATAATAATGCTCGACAGCATCATTGGCGAGAGGGGAATCTTCCATCAACGTCCAAATGCGCTTACTGCAAAAAGACCTGTTGGTCCTCGGAATGCCTAACAGGTGGGTATCGCAAGGAATACACTGCTATATTTAGGGTAATCCTCCACTAATCTCTCCCCATTTTGCAGGCTATCGGTGCGAGTGGTGTGGCATGACCACGCACGCCGGATGTCGCATGTACCTGCCAACCGAATGTAATTTTGGTATATTACAACCTATCTACTTACCTCCGCATTCAGTTTCGATACCACGTACTGAGGTGCCAATCGAGGCGATTATTGGCGTCCAAGTCAAATCCAAGACGTCGCTCGTGCGCGACTATTCGTGTCGTAAGTACCCCAATCCGGCCCCCCCCCCGCAATTCCCCGTTTCCTTTTGCAAATCCGATCACAGTCGCGTGATCCGTGCGACCTGACGGCTCAGCTCAGCTCAGCTCACTCACCCAAAACTCACCAACCCCCTAAAAGCTGCTCTCCAAATCAGCTCTCGATGTTGTGCACATTTGTATGTTTCTGCTCAGATCCATGGATCATCATCTCAAGTTCTCAAGCCTCCTCATCTGACTCTCCTCATCTCGCAACACGATCGCAAACAGTTTCAGTTTTCGTTTCCAGCTGCGGTTTTTTTTCTCACATTTTCACTGTATCTGTCGACTTTTGTTCTTCGATTTTTTCATTTCGATTGATTTATTTATTGAGTTTTTCTTGTGTTATTTTAAACGTTTCTTTTTTGGTTTGGTTGTTTGGCCGTTGACGCCTCGGCAGCCAGCCCGGAGCTCGGTGCAGAGGCCGCCGCGGCTGTTGGTCAAGTTGGTGCGTCGGGTTTGTGTCTCAAGGAGCTGCTCGAGCTCCATAGACAGCGACTTGAGCAATCGAAACAACATTTTTTACTTTCAACGCCGCCCACGCCCACCTCCTGTGGCTCCATGTCGCTCTGTGTCTCACCCACGCCCTCGCTGACAGTGGGCGAGACAAGCAACGACCCGGATCAGGAACAGGATCAGGAGGAGCAGCAGCAGGATGCCGAGGAGGATGATTACGAGCAGCAGCATGACAGCGCGCTGCAGCTAACGACTGCCTCCAGCAATTTGGCCACGGGTCCATTGCAGAAGTCGCCCTCCGCCAACTCCTCGCTGCACCTGATCTACACGAGCCTGTTTCGTAAGCTGGGCCACGGCCAGGGGCGACGACGTCGGCGTCGCGGCGCCTCCAACAGCGAGCAGGAGGAGGAGGACGACGACGACGATGTGGATGTGGATGGGGGTGTCTGTGATATAAGTGGCGGCGATCTGAGTGACGATTACGATCACTGCGATGTGCTGCTGCGGAAGCGCTGCTCGCGCCGGTCGCCGCGCGATGTCAGCGAGACGGATTACCATGGCGACGTAGAGCTGGAGACGGCGCCGCGGGAGAGCTGCTACGAGACGTCCGACACGGGCGGCGAGCTGACCAACACCGAGGATCTCGACTCCAGCATGAATCTGATCAGCAACCTTAGCTATAATAGTAGTAATAGTAACACCTCCAACACCTCCGAGCAGCGCAAGATCCAGGCGCGTTCCACTGCCACTGCCACTGCCACAGCCACAGCCGCAGCCGCCGCCAGGGGTGCGGGCCCCGCCCCAGGACCGATCCCTGCCTTAAGCGCGCTCGCTGGCCGCAACCCAAAGACTGGTGCTCTCCTGAAAGCCAAACCCAAGCCGAAGCCCAAGCCCATACTCAGTGCGCCCAAGCACAAGGGCGGCTCGGTGAGCTCTCCCAATTCCAGCGACTGCTCCTCGGCATCGCCCGCGCCCGCGCATACGCCCGAGCCCGCCTCGGCGCTCCTACAGCTGTCGCCGGTGGGTCGCAGCAAGTCGTTTCAGGAGCCGGGCGTTGCCCGCTATAAAAAGTACGGACGCGGTCTGTTCCAGCGTCGTCGCTCGAAGCGCTCGCCCAAAGGCGGCGCCAAGAGCAACTACAGCCTGGACAGGCTGTCGCAGAATATCGAGATAACCATACAGGATGAGGATGGCAACTATCAGCCGTACGATGACAACTATCACACGCTCTCCGCGGCTCGCCTGCCCCTCGACACGGATGCCGATGGCTACGACGATGTCGAGTACGAGGATCTGTATCTGGACGATCGGCCGCACAGCGCCGGCGATGACATTGCTGGCGATATCAGCGATGGCGGCGCCAGCAGTCGATCCCGCGCCAGCGACGCGGATGTCCAAGGGTCACAGGGTCACGTGCTCGACCGGCTGCTGCGGCGCGTCCGCGGCCTGTCCGCCGGCTGGCGGAAGCCGCGCTACCAGAGGCGCAGAGGTGATTAGCGTACCGCACTTTGTACTCGTTTGTACTCGTTTTGTAATCTCTCTCTAACAGCAACTGCCACCGACTGCCGTATACTCTCTCAGTACTCAGTGCTCGATTGGCTTAAGTTTCGTTTTTGGTTCTTCGATTTGTTTCTAGTTATTGAGCTAACCACCTGCCTTAGTTTCCGATTGTTTAACCCTTTACTAACTCAACTAACTCAACCTATCACATATCACATGCCATACGATCGCACCATTTCGCATCGCATCAGACAGAACTAACCCCCGCCATAATACAGATACACATTGCATGATCCTCTCAAGCTAACAACACCCTCTGCCCGAATATCTGATAGTTATAGTTTATTAACGGATTTGTCTGTGCTCGTTTAGCACGCAGTATATCGGAGGAATTTAGCAGCGGAGATGCGCCACGTTTCAAGGACGAGGAGTCGCAGGGCAAGGCCGAGTCCTCGCATGGCGCGAACGCGGCCGCCGGCGGCGCTGGCAGCAGCGGTGGTGGAGGCGGAGAAAGAGGCACAGGTGCTTCTAGCGGTGGCGGCTCTGGCACTGGTGGATCTTCCACATACTATCGCCCCGACGCCACGGGGCACAAGTCAGAGAAGTCGGAAAAGGACAGGGAGAAGAAGGAAAAGGAGCGCGAAGAGAAGGATATAGGTAAGTGCCAGAGGAAGGTGCACCCATCAGGCAAGGCGCAGTTTAAGCGATTCAATCCTTGTCCCGCAGAGATGATCAAGGTCTTTGACGGCAACAACTCATTCCGGCGCCAGCAGTACCGTGCGATCATCGTGCAACGGACTTATACGCTGGAACAATTACTGACAACCGCCTTGCGGGCGTTTCACATTACGCGCGATCCGCAAGCGTTCTATCTGACCGATATGTATGCGGCCACTGGCATGGAGGATGCAGCGCTGCAGGATCCGACTCCGGTGTTGAATCTGACACACTTGGAGGGCAAGCGACCGGCCATGTTTCTCAGGTTTCAGGACAAGGACAGAGGACATGTGCGCGTCTATCCTGGCAAATTGCAATGCTCACTCGAAGATCCCTATGTCAATGTTCCTGTCGATAATACAACAGTTATAAAGGACTTGATACGAGACGCACTCGATAAATTCGGTCTACAAGATAACCAGATACAGGACTATAGGTAAGATTCATCCAGCCGAGGTGACCCAAGGTTGTCTTATTTCATATCGCCTTTGCAGATGCTCGGAGGTGCTGCTCGATCGCGGCGTTACCGAGCGCATACTCTCGTGGAACGAACGTCCGTGGGATATTATGAAGCAGCTGGGCAAGGATTCCATTCGTCAAATGGAATTGATGCGCTTCTACATGCAGCACAAACAGGATCCACATGGCCCGAACATTGCGCTCTTTGTGGGCAACCTACCCACAGGACTCTCGCAGCGCAACTACGAGCAGATCCTAAGCAAATACGTGACCGATGAGAATAAGTTCATCAGCATTGGACCCATCTACTACGAGTACGGTTCGGTTGTGCTCACATTCGAGGACTCTCAAAAGGCGGTAGGTTCCACGGCCACAAAAACTCTCTTAGATCTTGGTGACATATTTGTCTCTTTTGCCGGGCAGGTTCGTGCTTTCTACAACCTACGCGAGACGATCATCGAGGACAAGAAACTGTTGGTCCTACTCTTGCCAAATATTGAGCCCAGCATGGTGCCCTCGGATGTCAGGCCCCTGCTGGTCTTTGTCAATGTCAAATCCGGCGGCTGTCAGGGCCTGGAACTAATATCGAGCTTTAGAAAACTACTGAATCCGTATCAGGTCTTTGACCTGGACAACGGAGGTCCGCTGCCAGGGTAAGTCAACCGGAAAGCTATTTGGGGGAGCTTCACCTTATTGTTTTCCTCTCGCCCTTAGGCTTTACGTGTTCCGGCAGATCACGAACTACAAGATCTTGGTGTGCGGCGGCGATGGCACCATTGGCTGGGTGTTGCAGTGCCTGGACAATGTTGGCCAGGACTCGGAATGCTCTAGTCCACCGTGCGCGATTGTACCGTTAGGTACAGGTAAGTAGCTGGCCATTGTTTTGCCCAACCTGTTGCCCGTTTCCTAAGCCCAAGTCTTGCCAGGCAACGATCTGGCACGGGTTTTATGCTGGGGTTCCGGCTATACCGGTGGCGAGGATCCACTCAATATGCTGCGCGATGTCATTGAGGCGGAGGAGATACGCTTGGATCGTTGGACTGTCGTCTTTCATCCGGAAGACAAGCCCGAAGAGCCGGCCATGAAGGCGCCCTCACAAACAACGGGTAAGAAGAAGAAGGCTCACCAAGCACATCTATCGCAACAAACAAATCAGCATCATCAATTACCGGCTCTGACATCGAGTGATATATCAGGTCATTTGATGTTTCAAAATTATTTATTCTTTTTATACGTTTCACTGTCTAATTTAACTAAAACCCCCCAAAAACAACCCGAGGCCCAACTCCCTGTAAAAACAAAGCAATAGCTGTTCGTTTTTTTTTGTTCTTTGTAATTTTACATGTGCTTTGAAATATTGCTGTAATAATATCCATAAAGCTACCGAACCTTAGTTCCGACTATTTCTGCAACTGATTTGTCTTAAATTAATACACTTTTAACTGAGAATTCCAACTAAACATTATAATCGGTTGCAGGAATATCGGTTTACCCCCTCGATTGTAGACCTTAATAAAATTCCATGCTCCTCCCCTGACCTAACCTAACCTCAATATATTTATATCCGAGTAGTCTTTTGCCGCCAAGTTTGGTAGCTGATGATAAATGCTGTAGTTTTGATGTGTATACGATGTATTTATACACTCATTAGAGCTGCATGCATCGCTGTCTAGTTGTAGTTAGTCCCAAGGAGTTCAGGTAATGTATGTCAACCCGAGTCAAGTGGAAGCCCGAGGCGAAGTCGGTAAAACCCACGACCCATATATGTCTATCTCGATGTGTTTTGTAAATTCAATGTTCGGTGTCATGTGTCAATGTCAATGCCAATCTCGCGCTCGAACTCCAATTTGGACTCATTAAATGCTCTCCTCGATTGTCAGGTGGCGCTCAAAATGAGGACAACTCCCAGATCTTTGTGATGAACAACTATTTTGGCATTGGCATCGATGCCGATCTGTGTCTGGACTTTCACAATGCCCGCGAGGAGAATCCCAATCAGTTCAATTCCCGGCTGCGCAACAAGGGCTACTATGTTAAAATGGGTTTGCGCAAGATTGTCGGACGCAAAACGGTCAAGGATTTGCAGAAGGAGCTGCGCCTCGAGGTCGACGGCAAGGTGGTCGAACTGCCACCCGTCGATGGCATCATCATATTAAATATATTGAGGTAAGTGGAAAATTGAAAACGAATTCCATAAACAATATAAACTCACACGGTTGCTTCTCACAGCTGGGGCAGCGGCGCGAATCCCTGGGGCCCGGACAAGGATGATCAGTTCAGCACGCCCAATCACTACGATGGCATGCTGGAGGTTGTGGGCGTGACGGGCGTCGTGCACCTGGGCCAGATACAGTCCGGCATACGCACGGCCATGCGCATTGCACAGGTGGGTTACACACACGCCCCGTGGGCCCGAGTAATATATATTGAATAATCTTTTGCTCTCTCTCTTACAGGGTGGCCACATCAAAATCCATTTGAACACCGACATGCCGGTGCAGGTGGACGGCGAGCCATGGATTCAGAGTCCCGGCGATGTGGTCGTCCTCAAGTCCGCGCTCAAGGTGAGTCCCATCCAAGCGATATGCCCCATCTTATATAAGCTATAGCTGCATGTTAAATATGTTCAGTTGTTATTGCATGACAGCTTTCCACTTTGATTTCTTTTGTATATACATACCATTTTCTTATGGGCCTGATCATGAACATGCCACCGAAATCAAATCATGTGCACCCAGCACCAGAGACTTTCGTTTTTTTATCATTTCTCCAACAATTTTTGTGCACCCAACCCAGCCGGAATCCACAGATCATACTTGACAAGTCACCGAAACAAACTATATAAAACCGGTTAACAATGACATTTAGAAGAGCAAGAACATAACTTTATAAGAGTTTTTAGGAAGTACCAAGAAAAGATCTAAGCTACATTTTACAAGATGAACAATTGTAGCTGCCACAAAAATAGATCCAAGTTTTTCATTGATTGATAAAGCTTGAAAAGAATCGTAATAAAAGAAAGATGGAAAAAGAGATGGAAGCAACCTTTTACACTCTTTCGATTAGTCGTGTTTAAATTTGACATACACACAATCCTCCTGGTATCCACATGTTAAACCCCAACAAGTAGGGAGTATAGAATTTAAGCAGTTATTTGTTGTAACGATTTTATGTTAAGCGTAGTGGAACGATCGTGAGCAACAATTTTGATCATTTTAAACAGTAATTGAAAATGTGTGTGTTTGTTTTTTATGTAAAAACCGTGCATGCAACCAACTGCCACGCCCCGCGACCCACGCCCCCACGTCCCAAGTGCAAATAATACGACCTAGCTGAATAATAGTGATAAATGTATTTCGGTATTTAATTTAATGAAATTAAATGCGCATCAATATTGTCACTGTTATCTCTTGTATTTGTTTTCAATAGAGCACCTGTTGTCCCCAGAAGCCCTACCAGAACCCATGTATATCCATATTAAATGCAGTAATGTTTGGTCTTTTTTGTGTGTTATATAATTAGAATAATTCCCATGGATATTTTCCGAAACTAAAGAGTGTATATATAAACTGATGATTAGTTTTCTTTGCCTCACTATAAAGTGGCTTTTAGCTAAATAACTTTTTCGAAATATCTTATTGACGCTAAGTTGATAAACTCCTCTCGACTGAAGGTTGTCTCTTAATAGCTGAGTTATTAGTTTTGTATGAGACTTGCAAATTTAACACAAAATTCCTGAAAAATGAATACCAGACTTTTATTTCATCCCACAGAGTTGCGAATAATTTATCTGCTTCTAAATAAAAGTTTCAGCACAAATACCTTTGGTATATTAATAATGAGAAACGAAAGCAATTAATTTGGTTCATATTTAATATGGACACACTGGCGCCCAGTGTTGGTCAACGTTGCTAAAAGGACATTGAGAAACCTGAAGCTTATAAATGTGAGGTTCAGTTGAAAACCTTACCCGATATTAATTTGTCCGTTTAACAGTCTTCGGTTATTTTCAGTCTGCAGGAATGAAAGCTTCGGCATATCGAAGATAAACCCAATTTCTTGTTCGTTTTAATGTTGATGTCCAAATTAAACGTATACTATTATAATTAAAAAACATGGCAAACACTGAAAAAAAAAGAAAGAAAAGGAATATCCGTTTTTAATGTTAGCCTGTGAGTTGAGCAACCCAATTTGTTACTGTATATGTTCTGGGTGTGTACATTTGATGTCTGTTGAGCCGTTGCCGTTGTTGAGTTTTGTCGCCTTTGACCTTGTGTGTGTTTTATATGCTACATCCAGGCCACCATGCTGAAGAAAATGAAGAGTAAACGACGACTTACGGAGCCGCATATCTCGCCGGCGGTGCTCAGCCTCTCGCTGCCAGGCAGCACCTCGGCCATGCAAACTCCGCCGCAGCAGTCGCAGCTACAACAACAGCAACAACAGCAACAGCAGCAACAACAGCAGCAACAACAACAGCAACAACAACAACTGCAGCAACAGCAGCAGCAGCAGCAGCAGCAACAACAACAACTGCAGCAGGCAGTCGAGAACGGCGACAAGGATATTTCAGTGCCGCCCTCGCTGCACTTTGGCAGCTCCTAGAGTCTAGCCTCAGCATATACGTCCGGTCTGCGATATTGGTTCTCCTGTTTTTACCCGTAGGCCGCTAACACTAAACTACATACATAGAAGAAGCTAAATGAAACTTTGACAGCCACACAAAATGCATTAGCACAAATCCTTCAAAACAACCGCAGCAAAACTTGCAGCTTAGACAAACTTTGAACCAACCATGTTAACTTTTTTTGTAGCATACTTTCCGGCTAATTAGCCAACATTAAGAGCTGTGACCGCGGCTAATGAAACTCAAACTAGCTGCACACACACACACACCGCACACACACACACACGTCTTTAATTTGGTGTATTTATTCCCACTTTTGTTGCTTTTGCTCCTTTGAAGAGACGCTTAGCCCGACCCCTTTAACAACTCACAGCAACAGGTGTAAATTATTTTGGTTTCATTAATCATTAGATGCGAATTTAGTTTCTTTTCGAATTCCATGCATTTTGCTTGATTTACTTTTTTCATTTTGAATAAAAGCCATGCCTTAATTTTGCAGTATATTAAAGTTTTAAAAGCTAACTAAATAAACAAAAAAAAACCAATACAACATAATTTTATTTATGTTAACTCTCTTTTTCTTAATCTCTATCTCTTTTTCTCTATTTCTCTTTATATATTACTTAACATATATATATATAATAAATATACTCTCTATGTATATAACTTCAACTACAACAACAACAACTACAACAACAACAACAACAACATACATCAATCTGTTCCTAACCAATTTACAAAAAAAAAAAACAAAACAATTAATGCACCGGACGCCAAAATTTTCTTTTTCAACTTAACCTCAAACACTTTGCACTACGAATGAAAAAACCAAAAAAAAAACAAACAATTTGATTAATTGATAAATGATAAATCGCATCACTTAACTAGGCAACCATGTTAAAAAAGAATAAACTTAAAATGAAACGTCGCAACACGGAACCGACAATGCTGGTCGCCGGCTCGACAACCCCACAGCTGTCCCTGGCCCTGCCGCCCAGCGTTGGGGAGGTGGGCGATGCCGCCGAGGCGGACGCCGGCCCAAATAATACGGACTTCTGAATATGGTATAGCGAGCGTCTGATTTAACGTGCTAATTACAGCGTTTACCACAGCCATAGACACAACCACAACCACAACCACAATTACAACCAGAACCACAACCGACACATTCATAATCGATTGCTATAGAACTTAAATCAAAAACATTAATCAAAATTAACTCTTTTTCTATATGTGTATGTGTATTACTATTCGTATATGTGTATAGAGTATGTCCTTGTCATGTCAGGTCTGCAATAAGTACGTTAAACTCAAACAGCTCGAACTAACAACAGCCAACAACAAATGAAACTACTTGAATGTATTTCAAAAAAAACCAACAACTATTAATACTATTTAATGCTACAACTACAAATACCTACTACTATACTATTAATGCAGCTGTGCGCAACTGTACACTTTAAATTTACGCATAAACTACTTAGTATTGTATTGTACGTACGTATACTCTCCGGGACGTTCACAGATTTAGACGAAAGTATTCGCATACGTGCTTTCCAAATGATGATGATAACCAAATGTTTATTCCTTACACAGCAATAGTCTGGCAAATGTTGTATAAAATTCAAGCTCAATTATGTTCCTTACCGTTTTGTTCCTATGTATGTAAAACAAACAACAACAAAAAGTTCATAAAAAAACCGAACAAGAGATTAGTGATACCGTTAACAAAAAGAGAGAGTTCTAAAGGAAATAAAGAAAATAAATAAAACCCCAAAAAGAAAACCAGCGCAAAGAGCAAAAAAAAAAACACAAAACAGTACAAAATTAATTGTTAAATAATTATTTGTTGAAACCAAATGAAGCAAAGAAAAAACTATGTAAACCAAAATTAACCAACTTGTCAAATGTGGCACTGCTGCGTCCTCTCACCGCTAGAGGGCGCAACACAGTGCTGCCCAGCGCTCTGGCGCAAAGTACTCTCGGCAAAGTAAACAAACAAAAAAAAAAAAAATGAAATGAAAACCAAAGCAAAATATGAAAGTAAAAGTTACAACAGCTGCGAGAAAATTTGTACGAAGCTTTCGTAAAAAAATAGCTGCAAATTGCATAGCTTGTCGGACTAGAACCAATGGGGACGCAACAATTCGTATATTCTAAAAAAAAACAAACAAGAGAATGGAACTACAAATTCGAGAGAATATAGATGAGATATGGCATGCAAATATTGGAATGGGTTAAATCAAATTTGGATTGTGCAATTGGTATAAATTTTCTCCACTGTTGTGCAAAAAATTATGAAATGTAAACGAATGCATTTTCTTACCAAAAAGAAAAACAAATGTGCCTGAACACTGCTGCTGTCTGATTTGCCACTCAGTCGGTCGGTCAGTCAGTCGGTCAGTCAGTCAGTTTGGGGCACGTAAGTATTTCCACATGCATTTGAACATTTTTGGGTGTAGAATCCACTTACAGAGAAAAAATAACAAAATCCAAGAAGGATATTCATTTCAATGAAGAGAAAAGAAATGAAATGAAATGAAAAGAAAAGAAAAGATGAAGATAACAACCCGAAAAACTACAATTTCAACTTCAAAACGCTTATAAAGAAAACAATTTTTGAGAATTTTATAAATAATTTTACATTACGTCTTTTGTTAGACACAAGACAAACGCCACACATGCACACGCACACACGCACACGCGCACACACAGGGGATGGGGCGATTGCGCATGCTCTGCACTAGAGGGTATTCGCATGCGCAAACGTCTCATCCCTCAACACAATTCAAGGCGATCGGGAATGGGAATATCCGGGTGCTTAGCATCAATGAGCATCAATGCAGAGTATTCTCGGTCGCCTTGAACCTTACACACACAACATAACACAACACAACACAACACAACACAACACAGTCTCCATTGGCACACAAACACAACACAACACAACACAACACAGTCTCCATTGGCACACAAACACAACACAACACAACACAACACAACACAGTCTCCACAAACACAAACACACCGTTTTACCGCATTTCCATTCACTGTTATGCAAACACGGAAATCGCATAACAGTGTCCAAAAAATCACAAGAGTTTCTCGCAGAAAACTCACTCATATTTAGTTTTACCACATGACCTTCTAAGGCATTTTCAGTTCAGCAAATCACCTTGACCAGCTGCAGTTATGGGGCTCAGTGCCTGGGGTTAATCGGAACACACCAGATTTCCGTAACTCTCATAGCGATCCCGCACGTTCAACGACCAGCCGCCAGTCGACTATGCAATGGATATCAAAATCAAAACTAAATGCGCGTCAAAATCAAATCTAAAAAACCAAAAAAAAAACCAAAAAAAAAAAAAAGGAATGAGATTTGAGGAGTTTTTTTGCTTTTAAGTTTCACATTTAACATTTAGTTCGGTACGATAAGGCAATTCGAAAAAAACCCATCCCATATTGCATAGACGTCTGTAATTTGTAACGTGCGCCGTTTCGCGAACATATTCGAAATGCAGCTCGATGCGAATCGAACTCGAATTCGAAGCGATTAGCCACTGGCATATAAATTGCAGTTCGCAGGTGATTTGAATTTTGTCTAATTTAAACATAAATACACTGAGCCAAAGCAACAAAATTTTTTTTTCCAAATTATTTTTTTTCCTATGTTATTTAAATATATTTTAAAAAAAAAATAAAAAATCTAAAAAAAAATATTACAAAAAATTAGTGTAAGTAAAAAAAAAAAAAAAACAAAAATAAATATATGCTATTCAAAGAAATCCAAAACATAATAACAGCACAAAAAAATCTAAAAAATCCAAAAAAAAATATAAAAATATAAAAAAACCCAAAAAACAAACAAACAACTAAAAATACTAATTATAGTACATACATTGATGTAGTGTTAGTTTTAAGCCAAAAAAAAAAACAAAAAACTTATGTTTGTGTTTCCCCAATCTCAAAATTGTTTCATAAACGCAAGAGAACAGAACAAAATCCATACATAAATGTACAAGTAACTATTTTTCTCTAAACCAAAGTAAAAAGCTACAATTTTTGCTCCACATTAAATTAAACTTTATGCAGGCAGTGGATGATTATTGAATCAAATAAGTATGATATGTATGTATATTGAAAAGCTAAGTTTGTCAAGCAAAATTCGATGGAATTTTTGCGGAAATTGTTAAACAGACTACGCATGCAAATACGGAATTTATAATGTACAATGGGAGTCGCTTTAAAGTCTTAAATGAACATTTTGTTGAAATGCAAATAATATTGCGAAAATCCCAAAACCCAAATCCGTTTTACAGAACGACAAATTCTTGCAACAAAACAACAGATAGGAAACGGAAATAACTGCAAAAATAAATGTAACTGACATAACAGAATTTAATACATTGTATTTTCATTTCGATTTACCGGATACTATGGTAAGTACAATAAAGTTAATATAATATCTTTCATTAAACCATTAAATCGCATTCTGAAGTTCATGTTTCTGAGCAGGCTTTAAAATTTCGCACCGGGTGGTTGAAAATATATTTATATATTCATCACATGATTACATACATAGTTTTTCACATATATATTAAGATTCATCTCGGTAACCGTCATCAAGGAGAAACAAAGGGGTTCGTCGGCTGTGAAGTTTTGAATTTAAAGTGGAAAAACTCCAGAACAATGTGCAATACGCATAGACGGAGACATCTACAACCCCATAAAGGTTATATATAAATTCTTTATAAAGCCGACGAGTTATCTGTTTCAAGGCAAGCTAGTTTAAGCTACAAAGCTCTCTTGACAAATTTGTCGGATTCGGAGCGCTATATCATATATATCTCCGTCAGAGATTGAGTTTAAGCTTTAACAACTTTGTCCTTTTACAAGATATCTTTACCTATATATTAACATCAGACCTCTACATCTTATAGCTTATATAGGAACAGTTCGCTGAAGATTTAATATTTGTATGCTACCACTGTCTGCAGCCGACAACCCAGGAATAATTCTTTATTATCTATACAAGTTTTGAATTTATTTTGAGCTTAAATCATGCCTTTACCAATTCACTTTTGTATATAAAATTTATTGAGTAAATTGATTTAATATATTCATATCACGCGAATAACTTATAGCTATAATACATTAATATTTATATCCAATAACAGTGCACTAATATAAATTGCACTACATTGCGAATTCCAGCTGCCGCGTCTCAACCGCAATTATGAGAACAATAATTAAATGACAAATTATAATTATCGAGCACATGATGAGAAAAACATAAAGAATAACAAATTGCTGACCCGACGCAAGCATCAACTATTTATTTTGATCAGAGTCAGATGAAACGCCCGAAGGGAGCGGCGGCGTTGAGCGTCCATCGAACTGCTGCTGATTAACCAAGCGTTGCCGTTCTAGATACATGGACACCTTGATGTTGCGCACCTGATGGTTGTGAATAAGTTTTAGCAGCGCGATGACTCCAATGCCCACTGAAATGGCAAATGCTCCCCAGGCGCCAAACTACAAGTTAAACAATATAGTTAAGCTTGTATGCGGATAGCTCAGAAGTAATTGCCACATACCTGGGTTGTGCCCATTTCAATGTAGAATCCTGAGGTATTGATTTTCTCCGTATTACCTCGTATAATGTTTTGTCCAGCTGAAGTTTCGCATGATGGAAAACGTTCGGTCATTCCATCGCACCAGACAATGAAACCCAACGTTATGAAAATTGCGGACAGAATGGACATGGCCAGCATCCAAATGCCGAGCACAACGTCAATAAAGAGTGCAATGAAAGACTCCTCATCCTTCATACGCGCATATCTGAAAAATACATCAGATTAATATGCACGTTCACGTGGATTGCTAATGTAGATTCGCACCGGTAGATTTGAACAACTGAGATGATCAGCAGCAAGATGCCCGTGATTAGTGGAAAATTGCAGAATCCATTTGAGGCCCAATGTACATCGAACATGCCGTCCTCCTCCCGCCATTTGCCCGTTGTAAAGAGCAAGCAGTGTCCGCTGGGTGAATATTTGGGTTAGTTAGTCATTTCCTGGTGAAAACTACGCCGTTAGATACATACCAAAATTGATCAAGATTTATTGAAAGCGGCAGCACAATGCACAACGATAATATGAATAGCAAAACATGTCCCGCTATTTGACTAAGCAAAAGTACATTTGATAAGCCCATTTTTGCATATAATTCGCAAATACTTGTTATATATGTGTATACTTGTATATTTTTGTTTGGCTCTAAACAGGGTTGGCAAAGCACAGTTATTACGTTTAACCACTCTGTGCGTTCCGCACAAATGTCAGACAAATTCAATGAAATACCAAAAACACCTCTTTATTAACGCAAAAATACCAAATAGCTAAAATATATACCAAAAACGCGTTTATTATCATGTAATTTAAAAGCTTTTCAAATACTCAGATCATTACTTCACTTTAAGATTATTCTTGATACTAGAGATTTGCCATAATACTGAATTGGACATGAATTGCTCGAATAATACGTCTAACACTAATTATTAAATTGTAAATTTTGCAATCAGCAGATCACTTACGGCTGGCTACAGCTACTCTGAGCAATGAATATTAAGTTATGCATTGAAAATTCGGCTGTCATTTTTAGTACCAAATTGAAGTTACTGTTTGGTAATGAGGGAATTTTAATCATTAAAGACTGTTTTAGTAATAAATATTTAGTTTATTTGTGCCTTTAAACCTTTAGTGTAATTATAAACATATTTTAATTACAGTTATACACCCACCATTTTAGGTTTAACATTATTTATATATAAAGTTTGTTGAAAACACTGCATGGCTAGTATTTTAATATAGTTCATTTTTAGGTCAGCTTCGGGAATTGGGCAACACTGCTCCGAAAATCGTAAAAAATTGTTAAATTTGTTTACATTAAATTGGATCTCAAAGCAAGGTAATTGTATATAAAATTTTGAAATAAATTTTACCAACTGGTGCAAACAGCGTTAATAGCAGGTTACGGGTCTTGTGTAACTAACTGTTCGCCCGAAAATCATGTTAGTGTGTGGCAAATGCAAATGAAGTGGGAACAAAGAGCAATTAAAAAGATAGTGAAAATGAAACGAATTGGAAAACAAGAATTGCATTGCTTTCTCTTCTCCTCTGTCTTTCACTAAGATAACGCAATGAGATTGCATTAAGCTATTGCGCGACAAAAAGGTGAAGATCGCATTAGTGCATTAAACATTTACTGAACACCATTTCACACCCACAGCTAACGCAGAAAGAACGACGGCGCCCACACACGCACTTTCAATTGAAATAGGGAGCTGAAGCACAAACAGCTGCAATTCAATGTTTTGTTTATGAGCTATGGCTATGTAGCATTCAAAACGGCAGCCGAGCAGAGGAGCAAGAGCAAGAGCAAATGTCCGGAAGCGAACAGCAAAAGCAACAAAGACGACAAAGGTGCGAGCCGTTAAATGCGAGCAGCACATTGTAGCAGAAAAAGAACGTGCTGTGTTAGCGTACGAGTGCAAGCAGTTAACAGACAGGACAGACCAAACCAGGGTGGCCAGTGACTTTATTGTCAAGGTAAGCACGCGAGCATTCCATAGAGTTAGGCTATATAAATTTCCCATAATATCTTGCAGTACGCATACGCAGCATTCGCTGGACGAGAATACGCTTGGCTGGCTTTTGATTTACATGCTAGACAAAAGATCCTTTAGACTTCTTTTCGTTGTTATCTTATGTTAATTGAACCTAGATCATCAACGTGCACTGCCATTAACTATAAAAAAAATAGATACATAAAAGATATCGCAATTGGTAGACTTAAACTTAAACGTAGCAGCAGCAGCAGCAGCAGCAGCAACAGCAGCTAAAATGTCCAACTCCCACTACAACCATCACCAGCAACACCACAACAACTACCAGCAGCAGCAACAGCCGCAGCATTCCAACAGCAACGGTGACGACAGACATGAGGAGTATCACCAGCAGCAGCCAGTGCATTACTCGCAGCACTATATGAATGGACATGGCATGAGAATCAAGCCGCTAGACAGTGTCGCCGTGCCGGACATGTGCCTGTTCTGTTTCGAGGTGCTCGACTGCGAGTTGAACAACATTGACGGTCCTGGTGTTCCGATGTTTAGCAACGATGCCTACCCGTTGTTTGTGACCTGGAAAATTGGACGTGACAAGCGCTTGCGGGGCTGTATTGGAACTTTTAGCGCCATGGAGCTGCACAATGGACTGCGTGAATATGCGTTGACCAGCGCATTCAAGGACTCGCGGTTCGCACCTATCTCGCGCGACGAGCTGCCCAGGCTGACGGTGTCCGTATCCATATTGCAGAACTTCGAGGAGGCCCAGGGTCATCTGGACTGGCAACTGGGCGTGCACGGCATTCGGATTGAGTTTTTGACCGAGCGCGGCTTAAAGCGCACAGCCACCTATCTACCGCAAGTGGCTACCGAACAGGGCTGGGATCAGGTGCAAACCATAGACTCGCTGTTGCGTAAGGGCGGCTACCGGGCAGTCATCACTCAGGACCTGCGCAAGTCCATCAAGCTGACACGCTATCGCTCCCACGAGATCCAGATGCACTACAAGGAGTACCGTGAGCACTTGGAACGACGCGGTGTTCAATTCGGCAAGGTGCAATGCTAACAATTAGACAACCAAACGTCGGGACAATGATCCTGGCTGAGGGCAGGCGTCGTTTTCGTCTTGCTCCTGCTATTGGTGGCCATTGAGTTGACTCAAGGAATGGGACTATTTACGAGCGTCTTTCTCTACTCCTGAGCAACTGTTCAAGTTTAAGTTGTCCTGTTGCAACAGCTATATTCACTGATTTAATTTTTTCTTACAAATATATTTTTGGTCCTTAACTGGGATGACGTGTCGTCGCAGTAAGTGACGCGAATTTTAAAGTACTTTTTATCAAACAACAAATGCTTATCAACCTATTGAGCAATTTGGGGAGGAAAAAAAAACAATTCATTTACAGATTATTACTTATCTTAAGTTCGTTATTTTTGTCCAATTGCTGGACTTTTATTACAAATTCAATAATACAAAAAAAAAAGAAAAACAAACTAAAAACAAATATACATATGCATATGCATATGTAGTATAAAAAATACCAATACAAATAATAATTCAATTAAATAGTTCAACAATTATATATTTCATAGTTTTAACAATTACAACAAATTACCGTACTAATTCTATGCGCAATAAATACAATGTCGGCTATTTTCTGCAGAGCCGCACAAAGTGAAGCGAACTATGGAATGTTGTTTTCCGGGTGGGTCGAAATGCAATATCATAAAGTCCATTAAATAGATACCAAGGCAACATCAGTTTTTATATGATATACTTTTTATTGTTTTAATTGTTGGGCGTTATTACATATATTTTTCTGTTAACTTCTAAAACAATTTTAATATCTATAAGCCATTATAGGTTTTCTATATGTCTATGTCCAAATATATAGAACATGCCTCTGGGGTTTGCTTTATTTTCAGATATAGCTAAATAAAACTGCGCTACGCTAAAGCTAATCAATATTAAGCATAACTGAGCCAACGGGCCATGCTAAAGCTAGATCAAAGCAGCAAAGGATTACTGATGATAAGGCTAAAAGTGCCATTTTATAACTACATATTGTTTACAATTATTGTAGGTAGCGTATACATTGCAGCATCTTATAAAAAACGTACGAAAACACTGAGCCGATTAGCTCAATTTCAGCAACTTTTGCTTCTTATAGCGTAGTAATTGTAATGCGTAAATATATATGCACATAAATATTTATATGTTTAAATTTTAGACATGGGCTTTCAATTTATATGTTTGGCAGTTATACAATTGTCTTCAGTGAATATATATTATAAAGTGCAAACAATTTCACAAACGCTTTGGCAGCCAATTTCATAAACTTAACAATTTACGTATGTTTGCTTTTTGCATATGTATGCGGTTCTGTGTTTGGTCGTGTGTTTTTAATTGTCTTTATATCAGTCTCAATGCGTGCACAGAAACTGCTCCAAGCACGGGCACTAGGTGGCCGACAACGCATTCCACTCAAATCGCGGATTCTTCGAGTGCGTTACGGGGAGGCAATCCGGTTCGACCAGCTTCCAGATACCATCCATTTGCTCCACTGTGACCAGGCTACAGTAGGGTATTTTGTGTATAACCTGTCGCAGCTCGTTAGTGCTGCGTGCCGCGCCACCCGTCAGTTGACGCGAGCAGGTGTCCAGTGTGGTGGCATGTGCCACAATGAGAATATTGCCAGCTGTAAGCAAAATTAAAGACTATTTAAGTGTCTACTAGGTGCGGGCTTCAAAGTTACTCACTCGTGCGCTCGAGCAGCTGTAGCAAAACCTTATGATTGCGCATATAGAACTGCTCCGTGGATTCCTTTAACTGGACAGCTAAATCAGCGGCCTGTTGCACAGGCTCATAGTTCAAATCAATGTCGTACTTGGAGTCGATCAGCTCGCTGCTGCTTAACCAATCGGGCACGCCATTGGGATACCAGGCCATCCATTCAAAAAGTCCTGGCTCCAGCTTGATTTTGTGGTTTCCACTCAGTTTGAGGCCCTCCAATGCGCTTGTACAAGTTTGCACGCATCGGTATGAGGGCGAACAGTACACATGATCGATTTGGACCTTTGCCTCGAGCAGTGCCTCGCCGGTCAGACGCGCCTGGTAGAGGCCCACGTTTGTCAGCGGTGAGTCGTTCTGCCAGCCATCGGGGCTGTTTTTGCGATGCGGCAACACCTTGGGCATATTCAGATCCTTGCGCATATAATTGCCGAACTCATCAAAACAATAGGGTATCCAGGTGCCAAATGTAAAGTCCACCCGTTCGCCATGGCGCATAATGTACACCTTACGGTTGCCGCTGTGCATGGCATCCAATGTGTTGGGCTGCAAGGAGTGCTCGTGGTCCGAGTGCACGCTGAGCGTATCATCGGGTCTAGGAGGCTGCACCGCCAGTGGCTCGACCATTATCTCATCAATGTTCTTGGATACCGAGTTGGAGCCCGAAGACATATTGGTCGTGATCTCAATTGTAGGCGTGTGTGGATTGCGCGGATGTGTTAAATTGTGACTGTTGAGCAGTTGCACCGACGGCAGCTCCAGGCAGGGCTGCAGAGTCTGTCGCAAGTATTTTTCAACGCTCTGTTCCGATTCCTCAAACGAAGAACCCTCTATAATCTCCGGATGTTGTGCACCTAGACATAGGAAATAAAATATATGGCAGAAGGATTAAAGAGGACTAGATGAGTTTTAATGTACTTTGCTGCAGCTCGCGCTGACGCTCCTCGGGCTCCGTGGATATGCTGCGCCCGTCTACAATATCTAGATCCTCAGCTGAATTAAGCGAGGATGCTACACTCTTGGAAAGCTGAACAACACGATGCAGCGTCCAGGCATCAGACTCAGCAGTGCGTTCCGTGTAATTAACCGGCAAGTGTCCCGTGCTACCTGTTAGCCACGATATGCCCTCCGCCCAGCCGTCGGAAGAGCTATCAACTCCCTCGCTATTTAAGTAGATGTAGTCGCCAATGCGTAGTTCCAGCTCGTCCGTTTCGTGCGGATTATGGGGATATACTACCTTCTGCACCTATAAATTATTAATATTAATTTAATTTCCTTGCTCCAGTGGGTGCAAACAGTGCGCTTTGCTGTGCTAACTTGTTTGGTGGCGAGTCGTGGATCACGAGAATACAAACGCAGCTCCCAATTGGATGCGCAGCTGGCATCAAGGGTTTCCACAAGTGATTTCAGTGCATTGAATTGTGCCTGCGGGAACTGATAGGCGAGCGTCAGGTGCAGGCTCTTTACGTGTGGCTCGAGTGATATAGCTACGGGCAACAGAGCGAATTAGACTAATGTCTAGGAAAAAACCCTACAAGCTTGTCAACTAATTTACGAATGAGTGTATCATGAGTGTGCATATTTTCCCGAGATAAGGCTTTCGTAAAACTGGTCACATTATGATAACAAGTGTAAACCGTAAATATGTTATGTACTGCGCATGCAATTGACAATCAAAACTACAAGTCATTTGAGGGAATGCGAGTGTGACACTGATAATGAACTGATAGCGGTTACTTTATCTAAATGAATGACGCTTACATCGACTGCTGCGCGGAATACAGCGGGTACCCGAGGATACTGCTCCGCACCAGGGGAAGCAGGCCACAATTGCGTCCAGCTGCTCGTAAGTATCGCTTATAACTGTGCTCCGTTACCAATAGTGTAGTCCATTTCCAACGGTTAGTGTGTGCAGGCAGAGGGATAGGAAGAGAACGAAACCGTAAGCCACGCCAAAACTGTACAGAACCGAACCCAGCGGCATTAAACAGATAACCAGATAAATAGTGCAAAACAACGTAGAAAATAAAGGAAAGCAGTGCAACTGCTACCAAACAAAAATCGCAATGGGCGATGCGGGCATACTTGAATTGGACACCTCCTTAACATATTGCAAGGCCAGACGCTTCAAATAGTTGGCATCATCTTCGGCCACAAAGAATCCCATAAAGTTTTGGCTCATGTATGGCTCCAATTTGATGGGGCGATCTAGCAGTGCGCCCGTCATGTCCACGACTTGCTTCAGCGCCTTGGACAGCTGCAATGAGCATTCGTCGGGTGCCTGCCAATGAAAATGGGCATTATTGGTTTGATTAACATTCAAGTTCAGAGCGTGCTCACCTTGAAAAAGGAAACTAGCGTTATGTGCGGCACATAGTTGTGCGCTCCGTTCCAACCGCACACCTGACGCGATTTTGACCAGAACTCTTCCAGCTGCTGTAAAAACGGCCCAGTTGGGCACGCGTATATAATGTACTCGCGTGGCGCGCACTCGTCTAACGTCGCATCGTTTACGTGGGCCAGAAGCCAATCTGAAGCAATTTGCACGCCTCTGTTCCCGGTTGAAGCCAGAGCCTTTTCGCTGTTAGGGAGTTGGGATAAAAAAAATCAATAAATGACGCTGCGCTGGTTCCATTTATTTTGTATATGTTTTAAAATTACGATTTAGCACGACTAGCTACTACTGAAAGAAGGCGCTTGGTGGCGCTGATACCTACGCTCTATGCTTTGGGAAACCCATTTGCAGCAACGTTTGTAGCGGAGTCAAGTGCGGCTTCATGGTTTGGCAGATGCGAGTTGGTGTTTGATTCTTACGCGGCGGCAGCGTTGCCATGTTTCCTTATATTGCAGTATCTTACGGATACCTACGGCTATACACGGGCTTTGTGTTTAATAATTAGAAATTGTAGTATATTTTATGGTCTAACTAGTATTGCTACAACTTTATTGTTTTTCGTTATGGCAATGTGACCAACGGCAAGTCTAATTTTAATAGGTGGGAAGTAGAGCTGGTACTATCGTTAAAATTGATGTTTTTGTCGATGGTGAGAATAACCAGTTCAATTTTTTATTAATATTGTTAAATAAATATAATTGTATTTTTGTTCAAAAAACATTTATATATTTGGTTATTAGTAATATTATACAATTTCTATTTACGTTATACATTTTCCTGTTTAGTAAAGGAGCTTAATTATCAGTTTTAAGTCTTGAAATATAACTAATGTTTCGTTTTATGTGCTTTTGTATTTGACGACTCAGTTTTGGAAGCTTTTTAAAAAATGGACTTTTCTAATCAGAAAGTAGAATTCCTCGCTAACAGTGGAGTAATTATGTAAAGTCGAATATCGAAAATTGTGTAGTCATCGTTAAGTGTGGAGTACTCTGTTAACGTATTGTATATGCTAATCGTCTATCGATTAAATGCAATATCGATAATATAGTTGATATTGGCCAAAATTTGTAGAAAACAAAAAAATTAACTGCGTAGTTGAGTGGCAATAAAGTGCGTTTAAACAATAAAGATACATCGTAAATAAAGTAAGTTATACATAAGGTGTTTGCAGCAAATTGTAAAGTGAAGAAACTACGTTATTCGAAACAAAGACTCGCTAAAAAATGGTGTTACGCAGCAGTAAAAACAGTATGGAAAATGCCAGTGGAGCTCAGACACAGAGAAAAACATACATACAAATGGATGTACATATGCATACAAATGTTATTGTAGTGGTGCGCAAAAACAAGTCATTTGTGGGTCCCAAACGGGACGGGTGTTGAACGATGCGGAGATGGCAATTTTTTAGCTTTCGCACAGATTTGATTGCAGTTGTGTTTACATTAATTTTTAAATGTTAATCAGCCTATATGCTGTGATAAATATGGGCGTTTTCCTTGGGCCAAATATTGTTTATGTTGTTTTGTCGCAAGCAACATAACTTCCTGTTCGATTCAGCCTTGATCATTGACTTTGTCATACATATACTACATCTGTTATGTTGTGTCATCGCCACTTTCTCCATTGCAAGCGCTTGCTATCATTATTTTTATTATCGCTTCGATGCGGGCTCCCGTTCCACCCCTCGCCTTCTTCCGCGTGCACCGTTCAATGGTCAGACATTGTTCAGAGCATGAGTCATGTGCGTAGTGTAAAATCAGAATTTATCATTCAACCATGCCCATACCCATGTCCGTGGCATTACTTCAATTAGAGGCCAGATTTGGTCGTTGTTGCTGTGCTGGTAATCCGAGGCAGTTTCAGATAAGCGTGTAATTAAATAATGCCCAATAAGTTGGTGCAAAAGTATATTTTAAACAATATGCCAATATATGTATGTACTTGTCTATTGCAGGCACCAACGCTTAAACAGCAGCTATCTAAAAGCGAATAGCAGAAAAATAACAAATAACAAATATCGATATGGCCACCAGAAAGAAATCATTGCTGAAAGTCATCATACTTGGCGACAGCAGCGTTGGAAAAACGTCGCTTATGAATCAATATGTAAACAAACGCTTCTCCAATCAGTATAAGGCAACGATCGGAGCGGACTTTTGCACGAAAGAGGTTGTTGTGAACGATCGTGTTGTCACAATGCAGGTGAGCAAATACCCAGTGCTCGGAAGTTGTTTAAAATTGATTATTGCACGTTTTGATTGCTTCCTAGATTTGGGACACGGCTGGCCAAGAGCGCTTCCAATCACTTGGCGTGGCCTTCTACCGGGGCGCTGATTGCTGCGTGCTCGTCTACGATGTGACGGCGCCAAACTCATTTAAGAATTTAGACTCGTGGCGTGATGAATTCTTAATACAGGCCAGTCCGCGGGATCCTGAGCATTTCCCCTTTGTCGTGCTGGGCAATAAAGTGGATTTAGATAATCGTCAAGTAAGTAATCAAACAGATAAGCATGAAATCGTGCAAAGCATTAACTTTATATATAACTAATAAAGTTTAGTAGCTGGCAGGCATCTCTTACAAAATAGCTACGCCAGATATTGACCGTAATCTAAACATCACAGCTAATCTCTCCCCAATCAAAAATTATCGAGATAAATAATTGAAAGAAACTTCTAATTCGCAAATATCTGATCGTTGCAAAAATCCAGAAAAAATATATATAAAAACAATAGTGTTTTTTTGTTTTTGACCTGGCTGAGCTTTTTAAAAAATTGAGTTTTTTTGACGTGCATTTTTTATGTCTGCGCCCCTTGTTATCTCGGACTATTTGAGCTTGGATTCTTGATTATCCGCTCATCATTCTTGACCTCCGAGGCTAAGACCATGCCAAAAAAGATTGATTATGGCTTAGAACCAAAACCATTCTAAATTTTGATTGAGGCAGACTCATCGCTTTTATTGTGACAATAAGTTATTTGAAATACTAACCGAGAATAACTCAACAGATGATTGATTTAAGTTGCCAGTTCTGTTTGCCTTGTATTTCAATTTAGCTGGAAATTCAATAACAATTACATGTATTAAAATGTACATTTTATTCATTTATAAAAGTTGGTGACATTCTTACAATTTGGTGCCAGTTTTTATTTCATAGCCATGATTTAAAAGTTACAAAACAGTTGTTCCTTTAACCAGCTGTATACATTCAGAATGTAGATAATGCAGTATCTTTCAGTTGTTTGTTTTTATATTTAATATCTTGTTTGTTCCAGGTATCCACGCGCCGTGCGCAGCAGTGGTGCCAATCGAAAAACGATATACCCTATTATGAGACGTCAGCAAAGGAGGGCATCAACGTTGAAATGGCGTTTCAAACCATCGCAAAGAATGCGCTCGAACAGGAAACGGAGGTATGTTTTGAGTAATGAATGCCCGCATTGATAACACTCATATATTTTGGTATTTCAGGCTGAACTCATAAACGATTTCCCCGATCAAATACGCTTGAACTCTGAAAATAATCGTCCAGGCAACGCTGACAATTGTCAATGCTAATGTAATTATATTTTTACGGGCAGCAGCTGCGGCAACAGAATACAACGCAAAGTGCATAATTACACAATCTTTATTATAAATAAAAATACATAACAGAATATGAGTATAAAAAGCAAATATGATGTACGACAGCAAGGTTATAAGTTTAAGTAAAACAATTTCAATAACAGCATAGGTATAATGATAGGATGCTAAATTCTGTTTATCAATCATTTAAATACTTTTACATATTGTGCGCGCCCTCCTAGTAATATTTTGCCGTTAGTAAAATTATTGCTCTCAACAGATGCAGCCGTTGCAGAAACTAATCTGAATCACCAATAACAAATTATCTAAAACAAAAAAAAACAAATTCTTGTGATTGTAAATTTAATAAAACAAAAATATACATTTGTATTGTAACTAATTTTATATATATAACTCTGCACATTCAATTGGCGATTGACAATTTATTGGCTTAGCTCAGTTTCCACCTCAACCTACTAATCAATTTGAGCATAAATTTGGTTAATTCACTTTGTTAGTTGTAGAGTATTATAAATAATTGCTCCTCTTTGGTAATAGATACACAACGTTTGTGTATGCTCGATACTATGTAATTTTCACAACTTTTTATTTACCATTTTCATACTTTTGGTTTAATTTGTATAATAAACAATGAAAAAGCAACAACTATTGAAACAGCCAAAACTTGAACAAATAAGCAAACCTCAATTTATTGCTATCTTTTGGACAGTGCCAGAAATTCGACGAATTCGCAATTCTTTCGAACGTCGATATCCTATTTACATAAATACATAAATAGCTTACATTAAACGATGCGAAGGTGTGTTGAATGTTCGTACTCTTGTACATTCATTGCCGCCGACCACAAAGCTTTTGCTTGTTCACATATTTTATATATAAATATTATGAAAACTCACTCTCTTCACAAGAAAATAACCCATGTAGAAGTAGTTACTGTTGCATTGCCAACGCGATCGCATTCGTGCAAGTACATCGGATGAAAAAAAAAACAATACAGGTGGGTTATAATCTTGAAAAATTGAAGATTATTTATCGCAGGTGTAGTAGTAAATAATCATCGATGACTAGCCACAATTTGGGAATTTACTGGATCGCATGTATCTTGGTCGATTTTATATCTTTCTGATAAGTGTTTACAAGGGTTCGAATTTCAATTAATTGTGAAACGCGTTCTCCGTTTACAAATGTTTCCCTTTTAAACGTTTATATATACAAGTTGAGTATACAAATATATAGGAATCAGAGTTAGTAGTACTCGGATCTTTACGACAAGCATTAGTAGTTCTACATCAATCATAATTGTTTTAAACTACATCATATACTAATAATACATTTTTAATTTTGTGGTTATTGCGGGCTTCCGAGCATGTGTTTTTTTTTTTTTATTTTTTGTATTAAACTGGAAATATATTGTTCGTCAACATCGACATTTACAAGTAATTGTCAATCAAATGTAGTTGATACTGATTCATATTTATTATCTTCCTTATATATATATATATGTATATGTTCTCTATAAATCATATTATGATGAAACTCCAAATAGCATGTTCTACGACCCTAAGCCATTTCTTAAAGTCCTAGTTTTGGGAGACTGCAGCGTTGGGAAAACATCACTGATGAATCGTTATGTAAACAAACGCTTTACACATATGTACAAAGCAACGATTGGCACAGACTTTTGTACAAAAGAGGTTGTTATCAACAATCGCATGACCACAATGCAGGTGAGCCTAAGCTTCGATTCCCGACTTTGTATTTGGTGGTTCAATGTCGGGCTATTTTTTTTCTCGAGATTTGGGACACGGCTGGTCAGGAACGCTTCCAAACACTCGGCGTGGCTTTCTATCGCGGCACGGATTGTTGTGTGCTCGTTTACGATGTTACTTCTCCCAACTCCTTCAAGAATTTGAACTCGTGGCGCGATGAATTCTTAATACAGGCCAGTCCACGGAATCCCGGAAACTTTCCCTTTGTTGTGCTCGGGAATAAAGCTGACCTAGATGGGCAAAATGTATGTCAAATTGCTCAAATGGGTAATTTCTAACATAAGTCCGTATTTAAATTTAGGTATTAACTCGGTGCGCTCAGCAATGGTGTAAAATGAACCACATGCCCTTCTATGAGACCTCAGCAAAGGATGGCAGTAATGTGGATAAAGCGTTTGCAGAAATAGCAAAAAAAGCAATGGAAGAGGCGGCCGCGCAACAGAACGTCCTCGATTTTGACCATGCCATAGTCCTAGAGAATGTTGATCGCTCTCAGAAAAAGAAATGTTGCACTTAAATAAATAAATAAAATAATAATTAGCATCATAATCCTTTCAATTAGAGCGTTTTTAGTTTAAGTAATGTCCTTAAGCCTTTTTCAAACGAATTGCGTGACTTAACTTTAAGCATAAAACATAATTCCCTTCAAAATCATTTTTTAACGTAACTTTGAAAGTATTTGGCGGTTACAAAAGCTGGCAATATTTCAACAAGTTGGCATCGCCGTGATAGAAAAAAGTGCTACCCATAACGCACAATCAGCTGTTTATTTATTAATTTGTTTCCCCCAACTACTTCAATAACTGAATTTCTGTGCTAAATGACACCAGCCGCGCCCGTTCCACCCCAGCCCCCGCCGCCGCCTAGCTTAAACAGTTTTCGTACGAGCGTTCAAAAAGATAATTTCTCCGTTTCTCGAATACCCAACGATGAGTGTAGCTGGGCGTTGGATTACCCGGAGGTGCAGAAGGGTTGCTTTCTCAGCCGTGTGTGTCAATATGCACAGCCCAAGAGATGCCAATTTTATGACATACCAAGTTTTCTACAAGTTAGCGACCTGTCTATGCTTATAATATGTATGTATGCAATTATATATATGTTTATAATAATTACAGGTAGGACCCACCTGTGGGCTAACGGCGCTAAGCATGTTGCTTAATGGACAGCCGACGGCAACGGAATTGTTCGCAGAGGCCAGTGCACAGAAGTACACAATAAATGGTGAAATGTTCAGTGCGCAATATTTATATGAATTGACACAGAAGCATTTAAACAGTGCAGGCGCTTGCCTATTTCATGAAGGACTTCTAGATTGTGCCAGGATCAAGGAGCAGCTTATCGGTGGTGCCTGTTTATTGGTGCCGTATCCTTTTTCAAACAAATTTTGCTAGTTTTAAATCCAAAATGTATTTTGAATAGTATTTTAATGAGCAGCACTGGTGCCGCGTGTAGTGCTGCCCAGTATATACTAACTTTTGGTATTATTTAGTGCAACAAAGTGAATACAAGAAAACAAAATAAGTTCTCCCTTGAATTTAATAATTTGTTATAAACTAAGAGTTTTTAATTGTTCATTAAATGGCAACTGAAGAGGAACAGGTGCGTAGACACATACATTATATAATTATCATACTAACTTTCGTACTTGCAGCTCAGCCAGGTGATATTGCCGGTCAAAGAGCCGCTGGACCTTATTCGCCTCAGCTTGGACGAGAAGGTGTACGTAAAAATGCGCAACGAGCGAGAACTAAGAGGACGATTACACGCCTTTGACCAGCACTTAAATATGGTTCTAGGCGATGCCGAGGAGACGGTGACCACCGTTGAAATTGATGAGGAAACCTACGAGGAGGTGTACAAGACCACAAAGCGCACCATACCCATGCTGTTCGTACGAGGAGACGGCGTCATATTGGTCTCGCCTCCCATGCGGGTGGGCTAAAAGTCGACAGGATTAGGAAATAGGAACGCTGCATTTTTGCAAATTGTATTAAGATTGCTTTAAATAAAGTGCTACAAATTGTATATCATTAGTCTCTCTTGCATACTTTGGTTTACCTTAAATCTAGGCATATTTTAATTATTCAGTTACGATGCCGACGTCAATCATGCACCCTGCCTGAGGTCCGGTCATCGAGCCCATTGGGCGCTGATTGTGGGCTACCTAATTGATGACCAGGATAAGGTGAGCGAATATATGAATATATTAAATATGAATTAAACTATGCACGAAACTTGCCCTTTTTGCAGTTTTTCGTGGTGGCACGCCATGGCAAGACACGTAGCCTAGCTGTATGGTCTTTGGTTTCTTTGAGCGAGAGCAATGCAAATCTTGTGGAATTCGCGCAGCCCAAGGGTCATGAAGGATGCACTTTTCTGCTGCCGCCCGGCGGCATAGACGGTGCTCTTGGTCTCAAGGAACGATCCATTCTAATAACCGCGCTGCCACACAAATTGATTCGAGTGCGTTAATGCTGGAATTGCAACCGGCCCCCATCTAAAGCTGGTTAAGGGTGGCTAATACAAAAACAGTTTCGATTTGTCTTTAAATGTCATATATATATATATATTTAATAATACAATTATAAATTACACATCTTATAATATTTGATTTTTAACTTCGCTCTCAATTGCAACGCTCCTGACATTCATCTTAAATCGGCAAAATTTTCGCACCCAACTTCTAGGTATATTGCTTGAAACGGATTCCATACATATCTTTTCTATATAATGCATGCATAAAGATACATGTTCCTAAACCATCTATGCATCGGCTGTTCACACTATGAATTTTCAAAAATCACAACAATTAGAGTAGTACATATGTTAGAATATGCAGATTAGATAGGTATGCTTATATAAGTATATATATATGTATATATATTGTCTAAGTATATATTTAGTTGCACATACAGATGTCTGAATTTAGATAGTATATATAGACGACGGGTTGGTTAAATATGCATTCACATTGGTAAGCAGTTGTAGTTATAGTATGCTGCATAACATATAGATACGATAGTTTAGTTTAGTTTAGTTTAGATAATGCCAGAGCATATATCACGCTGTTGCCATGGTGAGAGCAGAGTTGAGATCATGTGGCTCGATTCGGAGCCCTTCTGGCAATGCTCCTGACTCCAGCGTGGCACCTATTTAGAGAAGAAAGAGAACAACACGCTAATCTTAACAGCTTGTAACCGAAACCATTTGGCAAACCGTTTGTTAGCCAAACTAGATTTAGAAAATTTGTTCTTGGTAATAAACTCTTGAAACTGCAACTACATAGTTTTGTTTACTTGTACAGGATATTTGATACGCGTTAATTTGAACAAGTGGTAAACGTTCGGCTTTTATAATTTCATTATGTATATTAACTATATAGCTATTACTTATTGTTAGTGTATGTGTGTGTGGGTGTGTGTGTGTGATGCGTGTGGCTCGAAAATTTTTGATAAATTCACAAATTTGCGTGTTTGTAGACTTAAAAGAAATTTACAAGCTAAAAGTAATTTATTAACTAAAAATTTACAAATATTAATTATAAAATAAATTATCATTCTTCTTAGTTAATAAATTTAATTGCCGCGCATCTGTCCGGCTCCCCTGCTCAATGTCTATCTCTGTGTCTGTATCTGTCTGCGTGTGCGAGTTTGCATGAGAACGGGCATTGGATATATTGTTTGACTAGGTTAGTTCGGCACACGACATGGGCGTGCAGCCGATTAGCGCAATGGGAAAGTTCTTAACATGGGTTTGCCACTGCGACGACAACTGGAAGAATTTGACGCCAGTCCACTCGGTGCCATCGATATAAACTGTGCGAGTAAACAGAAAGCAGAGGATTAGGATTGAGTTGACGATATCACGTGCTCCGACAACACTTACCACGCAGGGGCACTGGATGCGACTGCTTGGGTGAGCAGATTAGACGGGCAACACCTTCGACGCACTGCTCCTTTTCGAGATCACGCTCCTTGTCCTTCTTCTTGCCCAAGCGCATAACTGTTGGTGAATATTCGCTGTAGTTATGGATAATATAAGATTGTGTATCTCGGACACTTACTTTGCTTCTGCTTCTTCTCCTTGGTGGCGAAACTAACAGTCAGTCCATTGGACATATCACCCAGTTGCTGTGCATTCTGCGGCAGGCGCCACACCTGCAGATTCCTAAACGTACTCTTAATGCTATTCTTGCCACCGCCGGATTCGCTGCCGCGCGACATTCCGCCCTTCGAGTCCTTGGCATGCGACTCGCCGTGCCGCACCAGCGGCCAATAGTCCACCTGCAGTTCCACGGCCTCTGCAGCAGCCAGTGCTCCACTGAACGTCTGCGATTGCATGGCCGAGGGTGTTATCAGCGCATCATTTCCGGCCCGATCGCGATGCGGCAAGCCCGATGCTGGTGGCGTCAGCAGCGGTGGTGATATGCGTCCCATGCCTTGGCCCAGTTGTTGTTGCTGCTGCTGCTGAGGCGGCGAGCCCGATACGCCACTATGCACACTGGACGTGCTCTGGTTGCCGCCAATGGGTATGGGCATGCTGGAAGCATTTGCTGAACTGCCGCTGCCAGCGCTGCCGGTCATATTGGATGCGGCGTTCTCCTCAAGATCCAGCGAGGCCTGCGTATCCAGATAGCCAATGCGTACGTCCTGCATGAAAGAGCGTGAAAGGGAACGGAAATTAAACATAATACCAGGTAAAATACTATAAGCGGCTGCCCTTACGCTGACAAATGGCACAAAGATCTGGCGCGAGTCTTCGTCCTTATAGTTGACCATGGCCTCGGCAATTGGTATTTGTGTGCAAGGCCCGGCCGCATGCAGATAGCGCTGTATGCGCTGCACCAACTCCGCAATGTCCGACTTGGCCACAGCAGCCGCATCAGCCAGATTGGCGGTCAGCGCAGTGGCATTGACTGTGGTCACGGCGCTGACTGCCGCCGCGGTGGCTGCCGAACGTTCGCACAGCTGCGACCAGTTGTCGGAGCCGAACATGGCAGCATAGGTCTGATCCATTTGACTGAGATGGCGCGCCACGCTGCCGTTGCTGCTGCCGCCGCCGATGGGCACCAGATAGAAGCGCAAGTGATTCAGCCAGTCGGGCGGACGCACGCCCATCAGCTCCACGTAGTGCCGCAGCGTGGCGCCTTGCAGCCAGTCCCCGCCGATGAGCAGCACCTTCACCGTGTGCGGCGGCTTGGCGTTCGAATTGCAACTAATTGGGTGAAAGAAAGAAAATGCTTGAGTGGAGGCAGCTGGAATGCTGAGCTGGCATGTCTACTCACTACTTTTGAATTTTGGCCATGAGGGCCTGCAGCACGGCCTTGACCTCGGCGGTGTTCTGTGGCACAAAGGCCGGCTTCAGGGAATTGGCAAACAATGTAATGAGCTTGGCCAGCAGCGAGCCGCCGCCCAACGCCTCAGGGGGACTTATGATGGTCACCACCTCGGGTATAATGTTGTCGTCGCCCGCAAAAACGCGGCTCAACTGATCCAGCAGTAGCTTGCGCGGCTCCACATTTGTCGGCGACAAGCATGCCTCCAGTGCCGAACGCGGCTCGGCGCTCAGGCTGAGCGTGTGCTTCCGTTTGCCCGCCGCGTTGCTGTTGTTCCCAGCGCTTGCGCCGCCTGCGCTGCCGATGACCGGCGTATTGCTGGAGGTGCGAAACAAGCGCGAACGCTTCTCGGTCTGGCCCTGGGCCTGAGCTGGGCTAACGCTGCACGTGTTGCCCGCGATGGAGCTGACCGGGGTCAGCTGCTGATACTGTTGCTGGCGCAGATAATCCTTGTCCCTGGGCGGACTATTCTGGGGATCGGAGTTCTGGCCATCGGTGTAGCCGGCGTTGCCCTCATTACCGGAACTATCATTACCAGCGCGATCTGTGAAAGGAATACATATCCAGATGTCAGATGTGTCCAATAAAAAAAAACCCAACAAGAGACGAGGTACACATTGCGTGAGGGGGACTAGAGGAATACTTAAGTTGGGTGTGGTGCACTAGAGTTCGATTTATTAAAGAAATGCTATTAAAATACATGCAGGCAGGCACAGACGTCCCTCGCTCCCCCTTCTCGCTCCACCCCCGCAAACAACTTCCTCCAACTGATGAGCCTAATGGAGTTCATTCCAAGGTGCTTCAAGTGCGTATGTGACGACGACGTTATATTGGTAAATAAATAATAAATGCCATGTTCGTAAATATAGTTAAGACTTTTTACTACCCGAAGCCCTGCGCACGAATGTATGTATGTATATATGTATGTGTGCTCACATATGTGCATACATACATACATACATACATAAGGTGTATGCTCGTCAAACACCTTTAGACTGTGTGTTTATTTATATTTGTGTAGCGTGCTCCACTTGAATTTTCTGAGCAATGTCGCAATTAATCTAAAGGGGGTCACGGCGCAACATGCAAAGAATAAGTTGAAGGAGAAGTAGAAGTAGAAGTAGAAAGTGGCATTGACGCAGTGATTTGGGGTGCGTTTGGAGTTTTTAAGGGTGTTATTAATTGAAAAAATAAGAAAAAAAACAGCTCGAAATAAACACATGAATTTAATTATGTTCTGATTTCTTTTTAAGGGTTGTTGGTTTATTAGCACTAAACGCGAACAAGCGTGACATGCATTACTTTTTTTCGTTAATAAAAAATAGGTTCACTCTGGTTAATGATAGTGTGCAATAAAAAAGTCAAAGTGTATTTAAATACCAATTTCTATACATTAGACCGGCCCTAAATGAGATTTTCATATGACGTCACAACATTAACAGCGCTGCTAACGCATGCAATAACAGCAGCCAATGCGCGGTCACACTACGAATGTAAGCGCTGCAATTGCAAGTGCAACGGTGTACTTGAGCTTGTGTGTGTGAGTATGTGTAAGGGCGTGCGTAATGGTGGGGCAGGCCAAGGCTTTTAATTTGAAAATTAACATAACAACTTATAAATTATTAATGTGTTTGCTTGTTTGCGTAAGTACAGTGCACATTGGATACGATGACCACCATCAATTTGAGACTTTAAATAGTTTATCAATTCATCACATATATATCAAACGTGCCTTGTACTTATTTACTGACTGAGGGGTGGGTATGTATGTATGTATATCTTTTAGCTGGTGGGTTGGGCTTTTGGGCTATTATTGGTGTACTAAAATTTTAGATATTAAGTGTAGGTTTTTGTTGGTTTTTTGTTGCTGCAATTTACACAGACCTGGTGTTGTAGCCGAATTGTTATTGTTTGTTAAATGAATGCATTTTTGGTTTTTGTTATATTCAATATTGTAAGATGAATTGGTCAATTGGTCGCTCTTATCCGATGATCGGCGCTCAGAGTTTCCTGCAAAAGAAATTTGTACAAGCCATGCAAAATGTTTCTGTTTTTCTTTGTTTGTGTATTAAATATAAATATAAATATAAATATAAATATGGGAAACAATTAAGCTTTCCAATCGAATACGTGTCAGGTTGTTAATTGAAAATACATTTTATACAATAAAAAAAAATCAAAATCAATCGTAATTGCAATTATGTAGCATTGCCTCCAGTTACGCTCCCTTCCATTTTAACATACACACATACACATGTATGTTTGAATG